AAACCACATACATGCTCAAGCTTTCCGAGGCCTGGCTATAGCTCCTGTCACCATCCAACCAGGCACAGACCGCGTTGCGACAGCCGCCAAACAAACGTCGACTCTTCAGCTCGGCCCCAGATCGCATCCCTTGGTTAGAGACTATTGCTGTCCCTCTCTCCCTTTCTGACGATTGTCGCGACAAGCGGTGAACACGGAACTGCACACGGAACTTGCACCCAGAACTGGAGCAACCACCAGTCCATGTTGCGCACTAGTCGACTCTACTCCTCCTGACCACACGGAAACCAACTACTACAACCCCCTACCCCCCATCTCTACTCTCAACATCTCTCTCCCTCTCTCCCGCGCCACCCGCCGCCCTTATCTCACTCATATCATCCATCGTCCATCTGCCTCCCGCCCCTCCAGACACCCCGGCGAGGCACTCAATGCAGTCGCTCGTGACTGTCAACAACAACGTCAGCCTCAGTCTAGTGAGTGTGACAATCGCACCAAGCACAGCCCTCGCCATCTTCACCATCGCCCTCGTCTTCCTCGCCCTGTACCTCCCTGCCCTGCCATTCCGCAGTGCGAGGTCAGCCGACAAGTCCGTATCGCTTTCCAAGCACAAGTACCACGACGACGTCGCCACCCACCCCACCGACTACTACGCCAATCGCCCTGCCTCGTACTTTGACTACACCAATACCTGGTGGTACCCATACTGGAATCGCAACCGCGCGCCCGACCCAATCGAGCTGCGCAACCACCCACCCCTCACCGAAGGCCTACCCCAACCCCGCGCGACGCTTGCCCTCGAGGACGGCCGCCGCAGATCAGGAACGGGATCGCGCATAGTCTTGCGCGCTACCAGGAGGACCAAGGCTGGCGAAACCGACAGAGCCAAAGACAGCAAGCCCAGGAACAGGCCCGCCAGTGATGCCGTTCGACCCCCAAGATCACCTGGACGCCTCTCTGCACGACTTCGAATCGGTCAGTCGCTCGCCACCGCCTTTTCCTCGCTACCCCTCGGCCCACAGCGGATTCCTCAGGAGCGACACGGAGGACGACCTGAGCGAGATGGAAAACTCGATGGCTTCCGGAGGTGGCTACAGCCCGCCAGCCTGGAGGCGCCTAGGAAACGGTGATAAGAGTATAGGATTCTGGCGCGGCGGCGACCACATGCTCGGATACGCCGGCCTGCCCCCGCCTCGCTTCAGGAGCAGGAGCAGGGAGTCAAGCCCCGAGTACGACAGCATGGACGAGGACTACGACGACGACGACGAGACCCTCGCTGCCGCCTGCCGCACCAGGCTGCCCACCGGAAGCATGAGCCCCGAGAAGGAGAGGAGCCCTGAGCCCGAGCCCATGAAGCAGCCCTTTCACACCAAGGCCGCAGGCAAGTTTGGAAATCTTGGAAATCGGAATGCAAAGGCAGATGCGACCACCAACGGAGAGGTCCGCATCAAGAGTGAGGAACCGTCCGCAGAGGAGATGAAGGCGAGACTCGCCGCACTGCCGCAGAAAGATGATCCTGAGAACTGCATGTTTCCCTGATCTCGCGCGAAGTGGACATCTAACTAACCGCCAATCGCACAGACATCCGCTTCGCCGTTCGCGCCGAGGTCCAGCAGCGGACCGAGCCGATCGAGTCGGCCATCAACCTAGTGCGCTCGGCCTACAGGCTCGTCACACGGAGCTGGTCCAGTATGATCCTGTCTGCCGTGGTCGCCTTTCTGTCATTGACCGCCGCCCGCGCCTTGTTCCAGCCTGCATACGGTCGCCCCGTCCCGGACCTCGTCAAGGTCGCCGGCATCGCGCGGAGCTTCGAGCCGCTCATCTACTACAGCGAGAATGGCGTTGCACAAGTTGGCGACCTGCAGGCCACGGGTGTTGCGGTGTGGGACCTGGGCGAGAGCGTGCGCAGCAGCAACCTCACCAGCGCCCCGATCATTGTCAAGGAGCTGGATGAGCTCAGTGACAGTCTTAAGACGCTGGCCATTGAGCTCACAAAGTTCTTTGCCAATGTCGATGGGGACATTGACAGGTAACAAGACCTCCCCACTGCTACAAATGTTCTCGGTACTTGAAATGAAGAAGCTGACACTCACAATTTAGCATCCTGATCGTAATGGACTGGGCTCGGCGCGAGCTCTCCCAAGTATCCTCCCTGCCATCCGCGCCCCTAACGTCGGCCTTTGACAACATCCACACTATGCTCACCACCGCCGGCCTGCTCGAGACGCCTGCCGGCACGCCCACTCGTATCGGTGCCATCGCGACGTCCGTCTTTGGCATGTCGAATCCCCAGCGCACCCGGCAGACCCTGCAACGCACATTCAACGAATTCCTGGCAGTCCTCGAGGAGGCCATCAACAACGAGCTGCAGCACAGCCTGGCACTGTTCGGGCTCTTTGAGAGCATCGACCACCAGTTCCTCAACCTGGCGCGCACGGTGGTGCGCGAGTCCAACGCGCAGGATGAGATGCACGCGGACCTGCTCTCGTCGCTGTGGACGCGTATCCTGGGCCCGCGGGCGAGCGACGTCAAGAAGTACGAGCGCAACCGCCTGCTGCTGCAGAACGTGCGGGAGAAGACGGTGCGCAACAAGGGCATCCTGGTCGAGCACAACCACAAGCTGCTCGCCCTCAAGGCCAACCTCGAGAGCCTGCGCCGCAAGCTCGTCAGCCCCCTCGTGCGCAGCGTCAACTCGTCCACCCTCACCGTGGGCGAGCAGATCCGCGGTCTCGAGGACGTCGGCGTCTACCTCGAGGGCGTGCGCAGCCGCCAGAAGGGCAAGCTCATGGAGATGCTCTACGGCGGCGGCAGTGGCGTCGTCAGGGATCGGCTTATCGAGCAGAAGCCTGTCGGGGAGTAGACGGGGTGCGTCGATTTTTTTTGGACTAGTATCATTACTATTTGGCCTGACTGCGGAGGCTTGCCGATCCCTGGAATCAGCTCGGACTCGGTCGCGTGGTCAGCCTTGAGGTTTGACGATGGAGCCAAGCCGTCCGCGATCTGGCGGATGCAGGGCACGGCACTGGACTCGTGTCTCATGGTAAGTAAGCCAGTCTCGTGAAGTTGAGTTACACCTGGAGGCTTTGACTGACAAGGTCTTTTAGCTGTGTTGTCTGGAAGGCTGGCGCCGACGACCGTCCCTGATGTTGCCTCGCAGCTCTCTTGGCTGCTGTGAAGCGAGGTGTGGGGTGAACCGTCCGTGTGATACTGTCAGGACCGATCGGAAGTGACTGGGTTGATTTAACATTCAGGGCCTGGTGGTCTCACTGTTGAGGCGGTGATGGCTGTTCTTGATTCTTCCCATGTCACCAACACATGTGGCAGCGAAGGGACTCTGTGACCAACTTGATGGCTTGTCATGGCTTTAGTACGCTGTTAGAGGAACTGTGGATTTACTTGACAGTGTATGTCGACCAAACAGGTCACGACTGGTCTGAGCTAGGCCTCTGTGCCGCCCTCACAGCTCACGCAAGCACGCGAACCAAAACAGCCGCCAAATACCTTACCCACCGACCTACTGACGCCAACAACGCCGAGAAGCAATCAAGTACACTTCACACGAAGCAGACACACCAACCCCTTTCGGAGATCAACACCTCGACACAAGCCACGATGCCCCTGCACAAGAAACCTCGCTTCTGCAAACCTTGTCAGGTGTGGTGGTGCCGCGGCGACAGGGCGGCCTGTCCCAAGTGCGTCAGGAAGCAAGTCACGAGCTTCATCTCGGGGGAACCTGTCGATCCGGAGGAGGTTGGCGGAGGCTGTGAGATGATACGATATGGTGTCTAGAGAGGCGGGCAGTTCAGGGATGTAGGCAGCGTTGGTGATTGTTGCAGGATGGCCTAGGACAGCGAGCGGTGTTGGGTGTTGTGTGTTGTGTGCCCCGGGGACCTGGGGAGATACAGAGCATGTTTTAGCACTTTGCACGCCAGCCAACTCATACGTATTTGTTACGCGGATGCTTTACCCCTTTGCGCGTGGTGCATGTTGCCGTCCCGTCGCGTGCCTGGCTTTGTGGATGGAGAGATGTGGGCGGGTTGTTGCTGTTCTTGCTTGAGCTGGCTGGGTGGTTCAGAGGGAGATGTATGCATGTATGTGTGTGTGTATGTGATCCAGGTCCCCGACGCAGCTGGGCGGAGTTGGACGAGCCCCTCGAGGGAGGGACGGACGGACTTGCTGGCTGGGAGCGGACGGTGGTGTTTGAGCACCCACCCATGCATGCATGTATCCATCGAAACATTGCTTCGTCGCCATGTATGCCACGGCGAGATGGGCCTGATAAGTACCTACCTAATGTATGTAAACATGGGCCGCCTGCCCGCTGTCCCGGGAACTACGACCAGCGACCAGCCAAGCCGGCCAGCCAGCCAGCCAGCCGGCCAGCTGGGTACCCAAGATAGGTAGGTGTACCTACCCACCCCACCCACAAGAGGACGGACGGACGGACCTCAGCAGAGGGTGATGATGATGAAGAATGGGGAGGGTTTGGCTTCCCTTCACACAAATACACACACACACACAGAGAGAGAGAGAGAGAGAGAGGCAGGCGCGAGGGGAGGGGAGGGGACGGCACACAGCAAGCCAGCAAGCAACCACCGTAAATTGTGAAGGGGCAAGTGGTATGGATAGAACTGGAACTGTGTCTTTTGAAAAGTCAACTTTCTGCTTACTGTGCGACTGGCTGGCTGGCTGGCTGGCTGGCTGGCTGGGTCTTCATGCGTGGACATCATTAACAGCAAGCCGGGGCTGGCAAAAGACCTGCAGGTGTTTGCCGCGCACACCAACGACAGACCTTACAGGACAGGCGGCCAGACAGGACAGGCACGAGAGCCGCGCCGACTACAATACGCTGTGGCAGGGCAAGGCAACCCGGCCGACACAAGCTGGTGCATAAAGGGGAGCGTATGTCTCCGAGGAAATCGAGTCCTCACACCAACACACACCAAATCATTCACCAAAGACCATCATCATCAGCACAGCAAGAGATCCATCTGACCAGGTCATCAAACAAAAACCTCAAGAACTTTTCCGGGGGTCCATAATAGTACCTAACTCTACCGATCATCAATCGCCATCCATCCATAGTCATCTCATCATGAAAATGAAAATGAAAAAGAGGCAGCAAATAATCAATATCATCATAATCCTCATACCCACCCCCCAATCCCGTTCATCCTCCTTCTCCTCATCGCTTCCCATCCCTTCCATGTTCCCTTTTCTCCCTCTCGATAAATGGACGTAAAGTCGCACAAGCCTCAATTCCGGCAGGTGACGACGGGGGTATTGTTTGATCTCAAAGCTCGGCCCGGCTCGGGTGAAAGAAAATGGTTCCGAGCATGGCGGCCCCCTTTCATGGGCAAAAAACACGAGCAGCAACCGGAAAGGAAACCTATTAACGCCAGCCAGTAGAAAACCGCCGAGAAGGAGGAAGACCGTTCCGAGAAGATCGTGTACGCGGGGGGTCCATCCTTAATCGTCCAAGCCGTGGGTTCACCGTCCCTTGGGAGTAAAGAAAAGAGAAAAAGAAAATCGTTCAACAATGCATGGTAGAAGCGTGGGTGCTTGAACCGTGTAACAAGAACCAGGGTACATCCTCCGAGCGCTGTGGGACACATTGAGATGGTCCACGAAGAATGCTTTGACAGCGCCGCCTCAGAACGACCAGAGATACCAAACTAGAAGATGCCGAAATTCCTCGGTCGTTGAGTCTCGTCGTCAGATTGGGCTCTCCCATGAGAGCCAACTGAAACAGCACGAAGTGTGCTGTCAAAACCGTAGAGAGTCGTGCGGGTCATCGAGAAAGATAAGTAATCAAGGGTATCATATCGAGAAGCGCTTGCGATGGCCGTTTCAAAGTTTGGCGAGTGTCTAGACCCTCTAGGCCTTGGGCTCCGCCTTCTCTTCCTTCTCGCCATCGTCGCCCTGGTTCTTGACGTACTCGTCGTAAACGTTCATGGCCTCGTCAACCTTGGCACGCAAGGCGTTCTCATCCTCGGTGCTGTGGTCACGTTAGCATGGCTTATTTAATACTATACACAGGCTGGCGGAAACTTACAGGTTGATGAGTTCCTGGTTGTCCATCTCCAGAAGCATACCAGTGATCTTGCCGGCCAGGGTAGGCTGGATAGCGGAGATCTTGGGGAAGATGGCCTCGCCCAGGATCTGCTTCTGCTGAGGTGGAGGCGCAGCAGCGACCTGAGCCGAAAGCAGTGCAGTGGCACTCAGGTCAGCTGAGGGGCCCATCTGTGGTGGTGGGGCGCCACGACCGCCCTGGGGGAGGCCTTGTCGGCCCATGTTGCCGCGGCCAGGAGCGCCTGTAAGCGTGTTAGCGTGACCACTTCCAGACGCATCGAGGGTCGAGGCATTTGGCATACCTTGGATGTTACCAGAGATGCCTCCCATACCTTGGATTGGGCCGCGACCGGGCTGAACGCCGCGGCCACCGGCGAGAGCAGCAGCCTGGTGCTGGACCTGCTGCAGGGCCTGGATGAACTGAGGGTTGTTGGGCTGGTTGTAGCCGGCAGGAGGGAAGTTTCCAGGCATCCCGTACATGTTGGGGGGGATCTGCTGAGGGGGGATGCCTCCGCGACCACCGCCAGGCTGGCCGGGGAAAGCGTTGGGGAACTGGCCTTGACGACCACCCTGAGCACCAGGCATGGGCATGCCGAGCTGGTAAGGGATGCCACGGCCGCCGGCGCCGGGGAAACCGCCCTGCTGGCCGGGAGCGTAGAAGACTGGTGGCTGCATGAAGTGGCCAGGCATGCCGGCGGCAGCCTGCTGCATTCTGATCTGGTTCCGAGCCTGGATGCTAGCCTCAAGCTGGGACTTGCGAACGTCCTTGCGCTGGGCCAGAGCGACGTAGAGGGGCTTGCCGTCAATCATGCGCTGGTTCATGTCGGCGACGGCCTTGGTGGCATCGTCAGGGTTGCTGAAGCAGACGAAACCGAAGCCCTTGCTCTTGCCGAACTTCTTGTCTGACTTCTTGTCCGACTTCTTCTCGCCGGACTCGTCGTCGCCAGAGGTCTCCTCGGTCTCTTTCTTGTTCTCCTTGTCCTTGCCCTCGGTGTCCTCCTGCTCCTCGCCGGCCTCGATCGCGTCACGCATGACCTTGGCGGATGTGATGGGCCCGAACTCGGAGAAGATGGAACGGAGCTTCTCGTCGTCGACATCGTCGCTCAGGTTCTTGACGTACAGGTTAACGCCCTGGTACTTGCTGGCCTTCTCCATGCGGGCAGCCTCGTAGGACTTGCGGAGCTCCTCCTCACGCTCGTGCTTCTTCTGAGCACGTCCGACGTAGAGGTCCTGGCCCTTGAAGTCCTTGCCGTTCAGCTCCTCGACGGCCTTGTAGGCAGCCTCGTGGGTGGTGAAGTTGACGAAACCGAAGCCGCGGTTCTTGCCGGTCTCCTGGTCGCGGGCAAGAGAAGCCGAGGTGATGTCGCCGTACTTGGTGAAGAGGTCGCGGAACTCCTCGTCGGAGCAGTCGGTCTGGATGTTCTTGACGTAGACGTTTGTGAAGTTGGCCTTCATCTCCTCGAACTTGCTCTGGCGGTCCTTCTTGGGGATGTGGTGGCCGACGTAGACCTTCTTCTCGTTGAGCAGCATGCCGTTAACGTGCTTGATGGCCTGGGAGGCTGCCTCGTCGGTCTCGTAGTGGACAAAACCGTAGCCCTTGGAGTTGCCGTGCTCGTCCTGGGCGACCTTGCAGCTCAGGATGTTGCCAAAGGCAGCAAAGGTGTCGTGCAGAGCCTTGTTGTCGATGGCGACATCGAGGTTCTTGATGAAGACGTTGCCGGCGCCGGTCTTGCGCAGGGCAGGGTCACGCTGGGACCACATGATGCGGCAGGGGCGGCCCTTGATGATGGTGTAGTTCAGCTCCTCAAGAGCCTTCTCGCCATCGACGGTGGTGTTGTAGTTGACGTAGGCGTACCCGAGAGAGCGGCGGGTGACGGCATCACGGCAAACACGGATGGAGGCGACGGGGCCGATCTGGGAGAAGAGCTCGAAGAGCATGGCCTCGGTGACGGTGGGGTCCAGCTCGCCAACGTAGAGGGAGGCAGACGAGGCATGGTTGCCAGGGGCGGCGGAGTTGGGGGTAGGCTGGGCGCCATCCTCAGCACCCTCGGTGGGGTTCACGGCGGTGTTGATGTTGGCAGGGTTCTTGTCGGAGCCGTTGAGGCTGGTGTTGCCGAGATCAGCAGCGAGCTGGTCAACAGCGGCGGTGGAAGCAGGGGCGGCCATTTCGAAGGATGAAAGGTGCGCTTGACGACACTGCACGATGGGAGACGATGGTCAGTAATGATCGACAGTCAAGTAGCTGATGCTGATGTGCATGGGCTCATGGACAGTGCCGCGGCGGTCGGAGGATCTGCCGTCGCGACGTGGTATTTTTGGTATTTGGGGGGTGGGGGAAGTATGATGCAAGGTGTTTGCTCAGTGGAGGGAGAGCGAGGCGTGATGCGCAGTGTGTATGCGTCGCCTGGAGTCAACGAACCTAAGTATGGGTCTTGATGCGATGGGATCGTGCGGCGACGACGAGTGGACCAGGTTGACCAGACGGTGTGCTTGACTGCAGACAAAGCAAACCAGGGAGGTCAAAGGAGGACCGCGTGATGCTGGAATCTGTCGGATTCGGTATTGGCAGGTCGCAAGGGCTTGATCTGATCAAAGAAGAAGACGACAAGTTCCGCGTCTTGACTTGTTTGAAGAGAAGGAGGGAGGGGATGAGGTTTTTGTTGTGATTTTGTAGTTTTTTTCTTTTTCTTTTTGGTTTGGGTTGGCTGGGATTTGGTCTTTTTTGCGGGAGTTTTCAAATTTTTTTTGTGGAGTTTTTCTGATTGGGAAAGACGAGAACAGAACACATGTACGATGGTGAAGTCGTACGTAGGGAATCTGAAGCTCGCGCGACCGTGAAGGGTTTCTTGAGGATAAGAGGTTGTTCGTGGGTTGAGGGGGGAGGAAGGGAAGGAAGGAAGGGGCCTGCGGAGTCGACTGGCCTTTTTTGATGAAGTTTTTTTTCCCGCCTGCAGTCGCTGTTTGCTGGCACTGGACTGGACTGGGCTGGGCAGGCTGTCGGTCGCGCGTCACATGCGCTAGTACGGAAGTACCTGCGTACCCCGTCAACCCGTGCCTCTTTACGGAGTACGCCAGCAGCGACCGCGCCTGACCCATTGCTTGCTGCTGGTCGCGCGACGGACCTGCTCTGCTATCTGCTATCCGCCATCCGCCCCAGGGCTACCAAGACAAAAGTGCATGGATCGGGATGGCCTAGCATAGTAGCCATGCCTGCCATGATGGAATTGCTCCCATTTCATTTCGCAGGGAACAAACATTGCACAGCGCCAGTTGCTGAGGTACCTTGGTAATCAGGTAAGCATCAGTGGCCAGCCACTTCAGGCCCCTCTTTCCCCGTCTACAATGAACTTGTCGTAAATGCGCATGTTAATGGGGTACCTTCCTACGGAGTACTTTGTAGCTGTGTCGACGGCGCAGGACCCAACCATGAACCAACTCGCTCACCGTATCCATTTCAGAGGACTGCCAGGCTGCCAGACTGCCAGACTGCATACGCCTGCTCTTCGTTACTGACTTGACTTGCATGGATACGGTGAGCCTGGCAGCATCCGATTTGAGGCAGGTGCGGGGCAGCCCTCGCTCCCGGGGGAAGGAAGGTCTCGCTATCTCTTATCGCTTGGTTCTCATCCCACGCTTGCCCCTCCATCCTTGTGACACGGAGAAATGTTCACCTCCAGGATGTAGACTACATGGCATCCTTGCAGTCTACCCCAATGCAGTCGAAGCCTTTGCACAAGTACGCTCTGTAGGAAGTCTCGGTGCATGGACAGTCGCTAAAGTTGCCAGCAATGGATGCACTTTTGCCTTGCAGCTCTCGTGCTGGTTTCGGCAAGCTTCGTCACTGTTCCAGCACGATGGAGGTGTCAGTTTAGTCGGTGGTAAAGGCCCACAGTTCCGTGCTGACACGGCCCTCCCTAGGGTTGCGATGCTGTACACGCGACAGCAATGGAGGCGAGGCCAAGCATGACCATGAACATGAGGGGGAGCTTCATTTTGAAGTCATGGCTCGGGCCAGAATACTATTTGTCTGCACGTCGATGTGGTTTCACCCAGCGTCAAGAAGCAACAAGAACGCGAGTCGAACAGATGCTAGTTGCTGGGTCAGATGCATCACGACGTCCTTTATATGAGGAGCAGATGATGAAGCGGGACTCCGGGGAAGAGCCCCACCGCGAGGTTGGTGAGGACTTCTCGATTTAGATGTCTGTTGTCGAGTCGAGACCCATCTCGATCAACTGTAATGAATCTCCAAGATGTGTTTCTCAAGATCTGTCTCTGCCACACATTTGTACCGTGCACTGGGCGAAAGGCACGGGCCGGGGCACTGCACACTGGGGTGAGTCCTCCCGAGGTTGTCGGTCCATTGGACCCCTTCTTGGCCGAAGCTGTCAGCTGGGTCGGAATTGTCCCCTACTGTGGTACTGTGTTGTGTGTGTGGTGCTGTGGCACTGTCGTGCTACCTATCGTTACGGAGCACTCGCTCTGTGCTGACTAAATCCCAGCACCCCGTCCACCGTCTGAAAGTTCCAGAAGCTCGGCTTGGCTCCATGGGTCCTGGGGCGGCCCTGCAGCTGCACCCGCGGGATGACATCTGATTGATTGCCTCATCGTTGGCCTGCCTGCCTGCCTGCCCGTTCTGCCAGCCAGCCAGCAAGCCAGCTAGCTACCTGCGGCTCGCCCACCTCTCTGGGAGCATCTTTTGCCTCGCAGCCGTGCCCATTCGAGGCTTTTCACAACTTTTACTATTAATTTTTGCTTCATGTTTTCAAACATCAAACGGGTTTAATCTAAAACTTCCTCAGGCCGTAGTACTGAAGCTCTCTTCACGGTTCTCAATCACTCAAGACACAGCGACATGACCGCAGAATTCAAGCCAAAATCTTCAGCTCCACCAGCCCCTATGGCTAATATAGGGGCCGAGGCGCATTAGCTAATCTGGGCTGTAGACACATTAACCTGATAATGGCGGACTTATGCTAAACCCTACGACATACGGCCTTCTAACCTTCCGACGTGGCTCCTCCGACAAAATCAAGGCTTACGCAAGACTTTTCCTATCTTTCTTAATAGACGTCTCTGATGCCCCCGACATACCGTCCCCTTTCGCGATCTAAACTATCCGTCTGGGGTGTTGGGTAGGCGGCGCGATCAGGACGACCGCTTGGCGACGTGAAGCTACACTTACTTTCCTTACGGTGGAATGAGAATCGAGCAGGACGGCTACGCTTGTAGGTCCGTTCGCAACATTGGTGCGCAGGGCACCGCGGCCACGGTTATCACCGCTATTTCCCTGCCGCTGACAGAAGTAAATTCTCAGAACTAGAGATCGTATTCCTAACCTTTCGGATGCCTCAAGAACTACGAAACCGTCGCCCGCCCCCGGTGCTGCAAAGCTCCTCGTCACCAGACTTCACCGGAAGCGGTCCGTCATTTGACGAACCAAATCCGTCGTAAAATCCGGCACCTCGTCCAACAACCCAGACCAGCCCTCGAAGTCGATCACGTCCTCCACCATACAAGCCGCGAACTGTGCTACGAGCCGCTGGAGCCGGCATCCCCCAGTCGTGCGGTTGGCATACACATTAGCGGACGAGAGCGCTGAACTTCGGAACGAAGTCCGATGCCGAAATGGTCCACTGCGCAAGCTCATCAACCAAGTAGGAGCAAGCAAGTTCCATAAGCGACGCCACGGCGTATCTCTCGGCCAAGAACCACACCTTGGCGTGAATGAGCAATTGTTCAGCAGACCTGGTGCGGCGCGTCGACACGTCCCCGCGAAGTTTGATGCCCTCCTCGTTCTCGATGCTGGGGGGGAGGCTACCGCACTGCGCTATGAACGCTGCGATACAGTCTCGTTTCTTCTCGGAAGGCCCGCAATTGCATGATATTTCCTCGAACTTTCGCTTGGACGGGAGCCGTACCGGCCCGCCCTGGTCTTTGCACGATGTGGAGTGCGGGGCGGTATAGAATCGATTGATGAGCCACATGTTGGCGGCGCTTTCGTAGGAGACAAGAGAGTACGGCAATCGGAACACGTCGCTTCTCTCTATCTCGTGGGATTCCGACGAAGCCTTGGGATGGGCTCCGGAATAGGCTGGTAGCAGGCGTTCGCCAGAGCTGCTGGTGTCTGCCTGCTCCTCTGCTCCGCCAGCCACGCTGTCGTTGGCGTTGTTGTTATGGTAAGGCCCGTCTTCCCCGACCGGCGCGAAGTCCGTGTACGAGCCGGTGTGGACAAACTGAGCGAACCGCCAGAAGACTGCCTCCTCGACAACCATCCAGTCCACGCAGCCCTTCGTTGACGGGATCCCGCCATGGACGAGAGTATGGAATGGGCCGGAGAGCCGAGACAGAAGGCCTCGACAGATGTGAAAAGCGACTCCGTCGCCACCAACGAGGAATTGGACCGGTTCCGTCAAGAGTCTAGTGCCAGCGCGTTAGAATGGATGCTTTTCTTTCGCCTGGCAGCTTACTGCTTCAACTGGTCGAGGTCTACATCCGGTAGGACCATTGCCCCTGCTGCTTGGAGCGGCCCAGCTGCTCCTTTCATTGCGGAAACTGTAAGCGGATGCATTTTTGGGTTGGAAGGCCTTGGGGAGGACTGGGGATGGGGTTCCCAATAGAGGGTGCCTCCATTTATCCCCGAGTGGATCCCCGATGCGAGGATCCCCGATGCGAGGATCCGGAATGTCGGGCGGCTAGCCGCCGTGATCCCGGCTCCCAGGCCATAAGCCCGGCTTCCGGCCCATGTCCTTTCGGAGCCGCGTTTTTGGGATGCGATTGGACCTGTATATAGAACGAACCACACGCTCGCCAGCCTCACCTCGCCGAGCTCACAGTTCCTGAAACCTCATACTCTTCGTAGCAGGTTCTCCGGCAAGCAGCCACTTGTCGTACCCGGAGCCACAGATGGGATGTATGATGCTATGGAGGTCGACGAAGACATTCGAACCGGCGCGGACTCCAACATGGTCAGTCCCCGGTTGCCGGCTATCGCCGAGAAGTCACAGCGGGTGCAGGCGGGGAACACCAAGAGACGCAAGCGTTCGCGCAGGAGATCGGCAACGGTAGCAAGGCGTAAGCAGTCAGGGAGCCGGCTGCGGGCCAAGAGAGCGAACAAAGGGGACTGGTCACAAATCCACAAGGTTTCCTCTAGCCTGATCCGGGTCGATGCGTTGGCTTTCTTCGCCGACAATTGTGAGATGGCTCTGGCGAGCTGGATCTCCATACTTAGGAAGACGGCGTTGCCGGACAACATCACCAGTTCGGACCCCCGCGTCGTTACCGCCTTCCAGGAATTGGACAGCATCATCTTTGGTAGAGAGAGCACGCGCATGCTCAAAAGGCTCGCCTATATGCAATTACTACGTGTTTTTGAGTCCCTCGAGCAGATCATCGACTTGGACCATCGGGATGGGAGGGTCGAGTTTCGGTCCGGCTATGGCGCTTCGAGCCTCGCCATCGATATATACGCGAGCGCTCAAGGGCGGCCAACGACGAAGAGGAAGCTCGGGGAGCGCACACGCTATGCCAGGCGTTTGAGGGACCTTACAGTACAACCGCCATTTTCCCTCCTCATCTACTCGGACGTGGCCGAGACTGTCGCGTACATACCACCTTTCTACTTTCGCGTCTCGTCGAAGCTAATTATCACACAGCGATAGATCCTCAGGGTTCAACGTACCGACGTTGAAGTTCCTAGCATCCCACATCGCGCAGACGTCTCCTCCCGGGCTTGCCATCGTCTGCAGGGAGCTCGCCAAAATAGCTGAATCGGCAGTCCAACCCGGGCAATCATGCGATACGCGGAGTGTGGCGGCGCAAGTGCGGGAGTATTTACTGGATGGGAGAGATGGGCCGAGAACTGGGTTGGAGGTTTGAAGATGTCGCAGTACTTGCACCTTACGCATTGTCGCAATCTTACACTGTACTTCGCACTTCGCACTTGTGCTTTTTGGCACTAGACCGTAGCTGTTCATCGCGAGCCCTTGGTCGCTGTTTATGGCGGCCCCTTCGTCGCGGTTCGCCGCGACCTTTCGTCGCTGTTGCTCGCGGTTCGTCGCGGTCCTTTCGTCGCGGTTCGTCGCGGTCTGTTCGTGGCCGCCCGCCCCACCACGCCACTGCCTAAAGCCTGGCTTTGCGGTGGGCACTGAACGCCTTCCCCGCGGGACTGAAACGCCTTCCCCGCGGGCTGGAAACGCCAGCCAGAGCCCCGGCCGCGGCCAACCCCCGCCCGGGCTCGGGCGCAGGTGGCTCCCGACTCTTGGCTTCTGCACACCCACGTCCCACATTCCAGATTGCACGGTCGGTCACCTGTACAACCCACCACCTAGCCTAGGTAGTCGCTCTCCCTTAGTCGCCAGCATCAATGAAGCTTTGCAGTTGCTGAGGTGGGCAAGATAGCTCCTCATGGGCTTGTTGTGAGGTCGTCTCATCCCATTCCAAATACGCCCCACTTGCTCCGCCGCTTGGTCCTTGCACGCTGTTGAAACTGCTGCTGTTTCTGTGCGACGATGAAGATTTGTGCTTCTTGCTGGTGGTGGTGGCAGAACCATCGGATGGTGGTAGGCGGGACTTCGCATGTTCTGCAGCCTTCTTCCTGTTTTCCTCAAGGATGGTATCCAATGCATCCCTAATCTGCGTCAAGCGTGTGTCCTTTCCCCAATCGAGAATGTTTCGGACCTGCTTGCAAAAGTTCTTGAAATCCTCTGGCCTCGATAATAGGAAAGCGTCAACCCGTTGGAGGTAATAGTTCAAACCGTCTTCCTTCCACGATATATAGAGCTGGGCAATATTGTTGTCCACGGCAATACAATAGGATAAGTTGTCGACACGTTGCACGCTCTAGTGGTCTCGAAGCGAGGTATTCAGCTAGTCGATGGCGTTGAGGCAGGCTAATAAAGCACCCGCACACTAATTTGTAGCAACCCAGAGGTCGCCGCGAGTACCTCCGGCAGCTTTGAACTCAATGGCGAAGAACGAAAACCTAAAGCCTTATATTGTCGCTTCCGCAAACCATGCATTTCAAGAATATAGACCCTCTTGGGCTAAGAATTGTGGCTGGGTGAAGGCCCCATCCCTAAGAGCGCCGGAGTACCCGTAAAGTAGATCAGGTTTCGGCCCAGAAACCCTAAACTGGCTTTCAGGGTTGTTGGGAATAAGGTAAGAAGACATCAGGGATAATTTGAAACTCTCCAAGCCTGCCAGGTGCCCGTAGGTCCGGTCTGAGTTTTTTGGAAACACCATATCTATAAAGAATTCTTCCACGTCCGCCTCAGTGCATCCCCTTTACAGGTCTTCCATCCTGTCAAGATATCCATTAATTTGTTCGAACAACGGACTAGGCGAGTCTCGCTCTACCCATAATATCTCAATATAACTGGAAATATAACCAGGAAGTTAACTATTAGCATGCCTAATATTAATGTTATTCAAGTTTAGGTTGTTCTAACGATAAGACGGATGGCGAACGCTGGCAGTACTGGAAGCAGAATCCTCCATCGCCTGGTATGAACGGTATAAACGAGACCTGGTAGAAGCCGGCGTCGGCGGCACTACAAACCCATCAGCATCCCGTGTGTAGCCCATGTCCGGTGCCAATCTCGTAAGGTTCCTCGAAACGGGGACGTCGTCTAAATGGTAAAGATGGCTATCCGACCGGCACTATTTCTCTCGATCCGATCCGACCGACTCGAGCCACTCGAAAATAAAGGTGTGGATGGATGCGGGACCGGGGGCCGAATGGACGGGGTCGACGAAGTCTTTAAGGAACGAGGCGTATGGATGGTTAGGAGGGTTGGGCCTTGGCTGTTATAGAGTTGTCTGCACGAGCTGCCCTATTAGTTGTGGACGTGCATGGGTGATCGATGTCATACCTTGTCCGCCTGCTCTGCTTTCTCGTCCTCAACTCCAGGCTGTTGCGTGTCCGTCCGTATCAATCGGGCTCTCTTCGCGGGCAACGGATCGCTACCTGTCGCGTCGAGTCGCCTCTTCCGAGCCTGCACGGGTGTCGCGTCTCCGGCGGGATCTCCGCTCTCTGGAGACTGCTCTCGGTGGCTCCGCGGAAGGTCTGTACCTAATGGGTTAACAAGTCTTCCCGGTCTCAGGGGACATCGATATGCGCACCTGCAATGCTATCTGCAATAGCGTCCAGCAGCGTTTCTTGCAAGGCCTTGGATAGTTGCACACGAGAGCGGCGGGTCCGCGCCTTGGAAACTCCGCTGTTCATGGCAAGGAACGTGCTGACGCGCGGGGGGATGAGGTTTCTATCGGCGCTCAGGCTGGCCGACGGAAAAGGCCTGCTGCAAGCCGCGAGGTCGTTCGTTTCGTCAAAAGCAGTTGCAAAAGAGTTGTTTGGGTCGAGGTGATTTTGGACTCGGCGACACGAAAATCCACTTCTTTAGGCATCAGGGCGTGGGGGCGGCTAACGATTGGCCGTCGGGTATCTTGCGGGGTCGTCACTATTCCGCCGTCGCGGACGCGGCTTAACCACCGGAGAAATGGAGCCGTATCCCCTCGAGCCCACTGGCTGCGACGACAGACCGGATAACGCACCCTGCCCCAATTGTGGTTAGAGTGGCTCGGAGTGGTTCGATTTGGCAAAAGGCGCCGTTGGCAGGATGCAGCTTCTCTTGGGCCTGAAGTCCGCGGTGGGGCAAGATCGACACGAAACCCTTGTTGGTACTGCTCAGTTCCAGGCAGCAGACACCGCGCCCACTATCGCATGACTGGGGTACAGCTCATACGAACGCAGGCAGCCATGTAGTTCACGCAAGCAGAGCCTCATGTTTACGGGTGTCATTGCAACCATGGGCGTTCGTGAGTCACCCTACCGGCCGCAGGTATACCCGGCCCTGGATTGACGTGTCTAGGAAGCAACGTGAACAACAGAGCTGGAGGCCCGCAGCTGGTTCGCCCGCAATCTCTTTGTGGAGGAGCGTGGCGTTCGGCGGCGCGAACCTGTCTCCTGGTCCGCTTCCCATCGGGAAACCCCGGCCTGGTCTTAGGCTGTAACGTGGGGGATCACTCCGATATGGACTATCCCGAGCGTACCGGCAACAATAGCGACCACACCGTGGGTCACTTGGACTAAAGGCCCCTCAAGATTCGGAATGCTCCGCTCATCAACGTGCTTGGAGAGATGGGATTGCCATAGGTAGAGGTCAAGTAAGTCGAGGTTCAGTTCTTGTATCAGTCGGAGCCAGAAGCAATCTGGGAGGAGTGGCTAAAACACTTCACACCCTACTGCAATCTTTTATGTGTGTGTGTGTGTGTGTGTGAGTGAGTGAAATGAGCAGGTGTGTCCCAATATGTCTCGGGTGTTTTAATTCTCCTCGCCCTTAGATCTAAGATCCTCAGCTATTTCTCCATGCCCCTTTTATATTCTATCCCAGACATCATATCATTCTCTATACGGCTGCTCTTGCCCTCGGACGAAAGGAATTCGATAGGTCATAAACTTGGGAAGTGCTTTCAAAGTAACCTGGCCAACGCCGATCTTCCCATCCTCAAAGAAGAAACAACTCAGTAAGGTCGCAAGGATGACAACATCCTGGACCAAGTCAAGGCGCTTCTCCAACATCGCTCGAATGTGTTCCGGCATTCCGTCAAACAGTTCCGTCCAAAATCCCCTTTCCGCAACCTCAAACTCATCCGGCATCCAGAACTCGCCTCCGGTAAATTCGCCAGCAAGGGTGTGGATACGGCCAAATCCGGCCCCGAACGGCAGCGGGGTAGACAGTTCCCAGTCGATCAAGGCGGTGACCTCGCAGTTTCCGTCGATGAGTACGTTCACACTGTTGAGATCGTAATGGGCAACCCACAGCGGGAGGTGCGCAAACTCGTCAAGCCTTCTGGCGAAGCTCTCGGTAGTCGCTTTATAGGGGAGGATATCTTCCAACGGTGACGCTAAAATGGCGTCTAGGTGCGGTCGAAGCTTGGTTTCAACAGCTTTGTGGCTATTATCAGCGAGATAACCCTTCGAAAAGACACGGCCCAGTGACTTGTTGATGGCAATACGCCCTTCGGCTCCCTTGCCAGCGACTCCGTGCAGCCACATCTTGCCTGGCATGCGGGTGAGGGAGTAAGCCCAGGCACCTGCGTTCTCCAACTCTTCATTACCGAGTGCTTCAGCATTTGGGACAAATGAGCCCAGGGCATCTTTGGCGGTTTTGAACGCGTTGGCGTCAAGCGGTTCGGTACGAAATTGCACGACCACCTCACGACCGTCAGCGAGGGTAACGAATAGGGTCCTACTAAACATTCCCTGCATTGGAGGCTTGTCAATGCGCTTCGCGGTACTGCCCAAATGCTCGGCGACCAGCTTCTTTGCCCATTTGACCTGCTTCGCCGGGGCATCGAGCAATTTGGGCAGATCCTTGTCGGCGGTGACCATTGGCATTGTGGAGAGGATCTCGTGAGGATGTAGATGAAGAAAAATGGAGGCGGTGACAGGTGTGCAGGTGTGCGCGCAGCCCGTGGAAGATAGAAGGAGAGCTTAATCAGAGTGGTGCCTGGAGTGGGGAAGGCTGTGGAGCCCTGGATGCAGGGACCGGACCCGATTGGCTAGTTATGAGTCATCCCGTCCGGGAGCGTTGATTGGCTAGAAACATGCCAGTTGAACCAACTGCCAACACTCCTGCAGGTTGAATGCATGTTGGTTCACTCTTGCATTTTACCTTCCTATCTCGTTCAGTAAAAATGCATCTCAGTCCAGAGTACTTTGCTTGTCGGAGTCAGTGGAAGTAGAAAAGTCGAGGAAGGCCTCCCCGCGTTCACGCTCAAAGGCTCTTTTCGTCAGTCAGACCCTGCTGCAGACTTCTCGAACAGCACCATATTCTCCAGCTGCTATTCTGTTGCCCGCCCATCCCTTGCTTCAATTCGATCAATTCGTTGCTCAAGGGTTGCGTAAGGCTGTCACGTCTGCCTTCATTGAGTCCGTCCTATTCCATTCACAGCACCTAACCGCTTATATCACCCCGATTCACTGCCCATCATGTCTCTTCCTCTCAGCCCTCTCAACAATAAACGCCTCCACGAAGGTCCCCTGCCTTCTGCTGAATACAAAAAGCTTCCTCACATCGACAACATGGCGGACGCCGCAGCCAACAATCCCAAGGCACATGCCATTCTCCTCGGCATTATTGCCGCTCATGGACTCGCAGACAAGTTCTCTATCCACCTTGTCCACAAGCACTTCGATCTACCCGAAGGGCGAGTCATGGTCTACGAAACCGTCTCAGGGAAAAGTCATGGAGACTTCCTTCTCTGTAGCCCCCGGATTCCTCAGAAGACCCCCAACATGCGTGGCCTCTATTTCAAGGCAGCCCCCGATGGGACCATGATTGCCTACGAGTTCACCACCAATCCAGGCATGGACTTGTCAGCCCACGAGGACTTCGTCGCTACGTTTGCGGCTGCTGTCTTAGACCTCGGAGCCCAGGACATATTTGCGCTGACGGCTCTCTCCATCTGCCCGAAAGACAAGGTCTTCACTGAGTTTGAGCTGGGCCAAGTCCGTTCGACCGTGTTGGTTTCCGACGCCAGTTGGCTGCCTGCTCGGGATGTCGAGACGTCCACGACTACGGACTGGCTCGCGACCGCGGATTACGCGCAATACGCTGATGGCTCAGTCCCAGGCATCATCCAACTCAAGTGCACGACAACTCGATCCGGCAGCCACTACAACGTCACCTGTAGCACGACTAGGAATGGCACCCATCTGGGCCACGCTCCTGATCCTTTTGCCGGCCAGCCACCGCAGGAGACTGTCCTCAACATCAACGGCGAGGTTCTCCCGGAAGGAACCGAGGGACACGCTATTGTTTCACACGCGCTGCAGTTGATTGTTGTTGCCTAGTTTGTTCGTGTGGACAAGGCTGTTTGCAAGACAAACAATCCGAGTGCTTCGAGAGCAGATCGTAACTCCATCGAGAGTAGTACGGGCGCGTATCATTCTTTCCATTTAACAGCGTTCTGGCTCCAAAGACCACTACCCTCCTTTGGTTTTGTTATTTAAATCGGGGATTCTGTCAAGTCTTGGCCCTGCGCCTGTTAATCATTTTATCCAACTAGTACTACATATACGTGTAGGTATCAATCCAGAACCACGATGTACCACCAGGTGCGGCCGTGAATGTCATTCGCAACGATGACGATACCCTGCGATGGCGGACATCTCTGGAGACCTCCTTTCCGAATTGGCAGTTGCGTGATTGGCAGAGGTACGGGGTGGGATCAGTGTATCGGAGTTCTCCCGACTTCCTACACCGAGGAGGCATGGACGGGCAGTGGCAAGGACTAGCTGGCGGTGCAGTCAGACCCGCCCGGACGCTCCACGTACGTGAATTTCCTCTCTCCGCTTGGAAGTTCAATACGAGTGAGAGCGTGAGAATCATAGCCAAGCCTCCACTCGTTAACCCTGAGAGGGCAGCCCAGCGGAGCTGACGGACCCGATGATGCTCCCCTTCACTCTGCCAAACCCTGGGATATGCCTGCTAGTCCACGTCCGTCAGTAGGGGAGCTTTGCTCAGTAGGTAGACTGAATGTCCCTTCTCGTGTCCGACGCTCGTTCTACGAGTTCCGGTCTAGGCTAGTCATGGGTCCGCAATAAAGTGGCGTTAAGTGCCAGCTACTGAGAGTAGACGGGCGTGTTTGCATAAGTGAGGCAAACGTAACATTGGTAGGGTCTTACTGGCCCAGGGGTTAGTGCGCCACGAATACTGCGTTGAAGATGGGAGATGTATAAGGACCAAACGTATCCGAATTTATAAGGCGAAACATTATGCTAGGTAAGGCAGAATTAGAAGAGACTTCATGATTGAGGGCGAATGATGTGGATCTACATTTTTAAGGGGTTATTTAAGAGGTCTAATCGAGGGACACCCCTTTTTTTCATCCGTGGACACATCTACCCCACAATTACCATTAAGTCCCCTGTAAATACATTAGCTCCCAGCTAGCATCAAAATCGCGATTTTACTACAGTAAAATGGCGCTTTTCCCCTCGGCTGCGTTCAGGTCCACCCCCACAGGCCCTCACAGGGTTCAGCGCACGACATGATCTTCGCCCGGCCCCCCTGAGGCGCTAAGTGATGGGATGTCCTCATGTTCCGCCATGTAGGCGCCTAGCGCTTCCGTCCCGAGAAAGTTCCGCAATGGTCCCCAGGTTGGTTTCTCGAAGCCCACCCATTTGACAAGTATTTGGCTGCCTCTTCCTCGCTTCCTGGTCTCCAAAATCTTGTCGACCTCCCATTCAGCGTCTTCTGTCAGCAGCAGGGATTGCACGTCATCGTCCGACTGGGGAACCGGAGGGGTCTTGCCCGATGTCAATGCACCCGCGATAGGCCCTGGCTTCGAGTTGTGCCACTTGGCCGGCGAGTTGGACCCGCAATCAGATTGTGGGCCGCCGAGCACGCGGCGACTATGCTTTGAACAGTAGAGGTCTGCCTTAAACTGTAGCTGAAACGTCGTCACACCATCCACTATTGCGCTCCTGACGACTGCGGTCTCAAGTAGCCATTCTGTGAACTTTGCAGACAGCGCTTTGACAGACTTCTGGTGTTCGCTGGAACCTTATGAAGAAGGGGGGCCGGGAATCTAGACTTGGCGTGATCCGGTACCAGCGTAATTCGCACTTGTCTGCCGTCCGGTGGCTGTTGTGGGAGCGGGTTTCCGGGGGCCTGATCGGCGGCGCTTATGGCGTGGCCGAGCCTCCCGCTCGTTGTCGCTGTCCTGGGAAGGGCTGTAAACCTCGTTATCCGCATCTTGCCGGTAAGGACCCGTATTACGACGAGAGCTTACCCTGCGGCGTTTGCGAAGTGGCGGGCTTATGTCATCGTCTTTGTCGGATTGCTGCACACCTTCAGCCCGGCCATTGCGGTTATTAATGTCGAGAGCGTCAACAGAATGACGATTCCCGTAGCGAACCGCAGCCCTCCTGCGACCTGCCTTCGGCTTGACGCGAGGCGGCATGGCTTCGTCATCGTGGTCGCCTCTGCCTGCTGAGATAGGGTGTGGCGTGCTCTCTCGAAATGTGCCGTTCTCAGATGGTGAAGAAGGCACAGAAGGATGGTTTGAGCTAACCAAGTGTGAAGCCTCCACTCCTAGCGGTAACACGCGAGATATCTCCGTAGTGGTCTTGCCGCACGTGTCCGCAGAAGGGGATGTCTGTCTTGCCTCACATGAGGGACTGCCCTGGGGAACCGGCTCGTGTTGCTGTACGGCCCTGGGCGGCCTAGACAGTCGCCGCGGTGCTGTTGTGGTAGGCGGCCCTGGAGAAGGTTCCGGGTCGCGTGTCCGTTGCTGGCCAAACAGAGGATCGCGCTGCGACTCAGACCAATGCATGTCGACCATGTCTTCATCGGGGGAAGGACCTGGTGTATCTGGGACCCTGATGTGGCCTGCAGTGTCGCCATTTCGGAGAGCGAGACCGGCTTCGGGTAGGGGATTCTCCGCGTCATTCTCTGGAGAGGGATCAGTCTGCTGAGGCGTGGGCGAGGACGGTGGCCTCGGCGAAGATGATGACGGAGAAGCTGCGGCACACTCCGCGCCGGGCTTTTGTAGCCGCCTCGACGTAGTCGCTCGGCTTGGTTCCACCATCCCGGCGAGGGATGACTCTTCTGAGCGATCTTGAACTCCCTCGAAAGGCAGGCTCAGACTTTCTACAGCGAGCGCCAGCGGCTGGGATCTCCGGCCGTCTGAGTTGGCTGCATCGGTGGCCGATGGCTTTTTCGCGTCAGCGTCGCTACCGGATGCAGTGTTGAAACTCTTGCCTGCTTATATACGTCAATCTAATGGCCCACCGAGGGATGAGAATTCGGCTACATACTTATACCGGCAACGCTGCCAGATTCAACAATGTGTCTAATTGGTGGAACAAGCTCGTCAATCGGCGGGAAAGAAGTATCGGATTGACCGTCGTCGAAGTCGCCGTCATCGGACTCGCTATCGCTAGGAATCAGGATTGCATCGGCCAGGGAGGACCCATTGTCGTGTACATCTCGCTGTAGCTTTTCTTTGCCTCCGAAAGAGGCAACAGAGGGGTCTCCATTCCGAGGCGAACGACTTCGGCTCGTAAGCTTTCCACCAGCTGCTGAAGGGAGACTGAAAAAGATCTGGCTATCAAGGGAGATGTTCGCCATCGTGTTGCGAGCGCTGAGGCAGTCGAATTGCGGAAGTCAAAAAACTTGAGGACGGATTCCGAGGGGTGTTCGGCGCGAAGCAAAGCGTCTTCAATGTGGTGGACGCGGGGGAAGAGCGAAATTTATGTGCGAGGAGCGGGAGGGAGGGCTTGGCCACAGCGCCAGTGAAGAAGAGCTTGTCTGCATTTCCCCCTGCCCGTCCATTCCATCAATCCCAACAGCTTGCGAGAAACGTGCTCGGCCATAAGCGTCTCCTCATAGCAGCGGCGACACACCACTCCCTCGTACCTCTGCCAATCACGCAGCTGCCGAGACGGAAAGGAGGCATCCGGAGGTCGCCTTCGCAGGACATCGTCGTCGCTGCGAATCACGCCCCTGGCTTGATGGCACAAGGTCCACGGTATCTCTGGAGACTGCCCAGGGCGGCTTAGCCGATGTGATACAGGCGCGGTGCCCTTCCTGCACCTTCTGCATGAGGTCGTCACTCTCCCTGGCCGTGCCGTTCCCGAAGCCACCAACGGGATGGTGAAATCTCACCGAGCTGCTCTCACGCGCCGTCGACTCAGCCTCTAAGCTCCTTCCTAGTTTCGTATCTGCCTCGCCATCGACCAAAGGCATGGGGCGTTTTTCATGCGCGCGCAGGGATGTAGGTCGCGAGTCAACTCGTAACACCAGAGAGGCCACGTCATCTTCGGGTCCAGCTTGTCCCCTTGCCGGATCCCCTCCTTTTGCTCTCCGGGACTCATTCCAATTGGACCGCTTTACCACAACCTCGTCTCCGGCCACTCCTCGCCGTCTCTGCCCGCTGCGGCCTGAATCACGGCTAACCAACAGTCGAATCAGGTCGACGCGATATCTCCCGCGTGACCTGCCCCTGCATATCCCGCCGCAGCTGACGCTAGAAATCGGTCCGACCACGACCAACAAAGCGTCCAGCCCACAAGGTCGGATGTCTTGGGCAAAGCCATGCGAGGAAGAGGCCTCCTGGTGTCTCCGCGTTGACGCAACGGCATCTGCGGCATTTTTGTGACTGGTCAGGACAGGCAGGCAATGTGGGTTGCGTCCAGGATCCGCTAGGCAGACATAGAGTCAGGCGTCAGGACGAAGGGACGGATATTTTCGGAACGGTGGGCGGCGCGCGGACATGAGGTGCTGTTGGAGCTCAGTGTGGAAACCATCGTAGTCGCTCAGCGCAGAGCATGTTGACGAGTGTCGCGTCGTCGGAATCATTGGGGTTGGGATGGAGAGGGACGGGCGAGTCTAGTCTAGACGGCCAGCGGTGGAAGCGAGCCGCGGAAGTTGGATGCCGCGAGACGCGATGGTGCGACCCAGAGGCGAAGGGCCAGGAGGGTTGGGTGGAATTGAACAAGGATGTTTGACGAGATGAGCACGAAGGCGCAGCGGCGCTGTCGGCGAGGATGAAGTGGTGGAAGTTGAGGGGTTGTCAGGTCGAGAGTACAAGCTCGGGACAGGAGGGAGGCGGGCTCTATTTATGCTGCCACGCGAAACATGCGGTCGCGACGTAGCGAACGGGCCAATTAGCAAAGCGGCGGGTGGAGTCCGCGTCAGCGCTAGGCCCGAACGAGGGCGCCGCTAAACCCGGCGGGCGCGGCACCGCATCCGCGTCACCGCCAAGGCCATTGCACCTGGGTTTTGTTTGTGACGTGCTCACGCTGCGCCGTTCTAGGGGTCCGATACCCTCGGGCCGGATATCCTCTTACGGGACAACCAACCTTCTGCTTGAACAACTTCGTAGTGAATAACCCAGGGGGACATAATCCGGTAGGATACCCTCCTAGAGAATCGTCCCCTGTCCCCTACAGGGAAAACTGCTGACCTTCTCCAGCATACTTAACCCTCACCCCTCCCTCCGAATACCGCATCCGAGAGCCTCTGCTCGATCTGACTCGGCCTTCGAGCTGCTGCTGACCCATCACCCATCACCAACCACCGACCGCCGACCGCCGACCGCCGACCGATCCCGCCATCAAAATGTTTCCCACATTCTCGGGAAACTCTCGGCGGCCGCGAAATGTCAACATGAGCGGCCAGAAGAACCTCAACCCTTGGTCGCCCAGCAGCTCCTCCAACGCCTCCAAGACCGTTGCTGACGCCCAGGCCGAACGCAACAAGCGACAGCTCGAGAGGGAGAAGCTCAAGGCCGCACAGTCAATACAGAAGACATGGAGGGGCCATGCTTCGAGGAGACGTCTGAAGGACAAAAGACGCGAGGCCCTCGACGCCCTTTACAACGACTCGTCGCGGACCGACCCCCGAACAAGGGCAGCCGAAGCCCTCCCTCTTGTGCTTGCCGCCCTCGATCCTCGGATGCCCGACGACCGCATGCGACTTGAGCGTTTCTCCCAAGACCTCCTTCAAACTGATTGCTCCCTTCTCAGATCCGGGGAGACAGCAAACAGTTCACAAATAAGGAGGTTAACAAGACATCTACTCGTCTTCCTGCAGAGGTAAACAGCCCCAAGCGCTCATTACCCGCATACCAATATCTGACATTTGTCGCTAGCTCTGGCTACAGTCAAGTTTCCCGCTCAAACTTGGAAGTGGTGATACGAATCCTCTCCACAAGATTCGAATCCGCCCGCGATAACCTGGACAGCCTCTTCGAAATCATCGCCAATTACTGTCGCAACGAGGAAATCAGAGATACCGAGAGCCTCTCGTTACTGGAACAGGCGATCTTGATACCTATAGCCCAGGACCGAGAACGGCAGGCCTCGAATGCATTTGCTCTGTGCTTCCTGACTCAACCAAACCTCAAGTTGTTCGAGGGCAATGTTGGTGGTTTTGCGGAGCGGATCGACACAGAGAAGGTATCATCTGGCATTCTGGAAGCTTATACCGCTGGTTGGGCCTCAAAACAGCAGACAGATTCGAGATTATGGCTCTTGGCCCATTTCATCGCCCTGGGGAATGCCACGAGGGACTCCTCGCTCGGACCATCGTACTTGCATGCTCTGTACATCCAGCTCTCCAGCCTGCACATCGAGTTGAAGAAGTACCACATTGGACACACAACGACAGATTCAGCCACTACCAAGAAACGCCTCCCATCTTTCATAGAACAGTCTATCCAGTCTCTGGTTGAGAAGGACGAGATCACTCATGTTTTGGAAAGATTTACAAGGTGAGAACGCCCAAGATGTTACCACTCATCTTCTGTCCAACTACTAACCGGATCATAGCAACTTTGCCGGCTCTTCACAAGAGGAATCCGACGAGGCCAGCCTGCTTGCGGCATACATTCTTACCTTGATCCGTTGTTTCCCGGCCCTCAGCGACGACATCCGCATGAGGCTCTATCTCGCCGACATACCCTCATACCCAAATTCGGTAAAGTTCTTCTGGAATGCTATGGCCCGTACAAAGACCTTTCTGAGTGTCATGTCGGACGAGCGAGGCAGCACTCTCGATCTCCTGCAGGGCAAAAATTCGAAGCAGCTTGCCCCAACCAAGGGCGGTGCGGTGTGGGACCGCGAATGGAGGACCATCTTACTTTTCCTCGAACTCTACGTTTTTGTCCTACGGCTCACAGATGACGAGGACTTCTTTTTCCCACTTGGCCCCGCGAATGTCCAGACACTCGAGGTGTCCCGCTTGCGACAGTGTATGCTTGACTTGGAGGAGCTCAAAAGCTTGACGCTGTTCCTGAGGAATCTTTCTTTTACGCTGTACTACAACGCAAATGACCTGCGTCAGCATGCCTCGAGACACACCTCGCGTGTGAACAAGAATGCGCAGGATTTATTTGGTTCCCAGTGGAAGGCGCTGCACGAGTCGAGCACGACACAAGAGACATACAGCGTGGTTTCGGGTGTGGACTTCGATACGTTCAGGGGAACCGTGACACAAGCTATGCGCATGGTTTATGAGCGTGACTCTCGACGAGGATTCCTGCCTCGCGACCACTGGCTCATGACCTCTAGATTTGATATGGAGGGGTTCAAGTCTGCTGTTGTGGCCGAGGACCAGAGGCAGCGGGAAATCCAAGATGCCGAAAGTGAAGACGAAGACGTCAATTTTGAGCAGGACAGCGACAGCGACGAACAGGACTCGTACATAACTCCGGCTTATACGACCCAAGCCGCGCGCAACGCACGGCTGGAGAGGATGAGGGCAGCTCACAAACAAGAACAGCGGAAGTTACAGGTTGCGACTGTCGCGCCGAAGCTTGAAATCCTGCGCAACATGCCTTTTGTCATACCTTTCGACACGCGAGTCAAGATCTTCCGCGAGTTTGTGTTCCTCGACAAGATCAGGCGGAGAGATGGCCACGTCGAAGCAGACCAGTGGCGCATGAGTCTGATGCACACCATGCCGTCGCCAAATAGAGCTCAGGAGGTTCTCGGGCGCCACACGGCCAAGGTCCGCCGGGGACGGGTGTTCGAGGATGCATACGAGCAGTTCTACGAGCTGCAGGACGGCCTCAAGGAGCCGATCCAGATCACGTTTGTTGACCAGTTCGACATGGCCGAAGCGGGCATCGACGGCGGGGGCGTTACCAAGGAGTTTCTCATGAGCGCCACCACAGAAGCCTTCTCGGACGAGCAGGGCTTGTTTGTCGCCAACAGCCAGAACTCTCTCTACCCCAACCCGTGTGCCATCGATCAACGGCAAACTAAGCTTCGCGAGACAGGATTAACCCCCGATTCGCCGGAATGGAGGGAGGCTATGACGAATCTTCTGGAGCAATACGAATTCCTCGGGCGCATAATCGGCAAGTGCCTGTACGAGGGAATCCTAATTGACGTCGTCTTTGCCGGCTTCTTCCTGCTCAAATGGGCAGCATCGGCGTCCGACGCAGGGTACCGCGCGAACATCAACGACCTGAGAGAGCTCGACCAGGACCTCTATGCGAACATGATGAAACTCAAGAACTACCCCGGCGACGTGTCGGAGCTCGGGCTGGACTTCACCATCGACGACCAGATCTCCATGCCGGACGAGCCGGTCCGCATTGCGACCCGCAAGCTCGCGCCCGACGGTGACAAGATGACCGTCACCAATGAGAACAAACTCCTATATATCAACTACGTGGCACGGCACCGGCTGGTCGCGCAGCCCTCGCGGGTGACACGGGCGTTCCTCCAGGGCCTGGGCGCCATCATCGAGCCGGCGTGGCTGAGCATGTTCAACCAGTCGGAGCTGCAGCGGCTCGTGGGCGGCGACTCGACCGAGATCGACCTCGAGGACCTGCGGCGCCACACCATCTACTCGGGGCTGTACCAGATCGGCGACGACGGCGAGGAGCACCCCGTCATCAAGATGTTCTGGGACCTGCTGCACAGGCTGCCCGACCGCAACCGGCGCGCCGTGCTCAAGTACGTCACGTCGACGCCGCGCGCGCCGCTGCTCGGCTTCGGCCAGCTCAAGCCCGCGTTCAGCATCCGCGACGGCGGGTCGGACCCCACGCGGCTGCCGAGCGCCAGCACCTGTGTCAACCTGTTGAAGCTCCCCATGTACCGCACGGAGAAGGAGATGGAGGAGAAGCTGCTGTACGCGGTGCTGTCTGGTGCTGGGTTCGATCTGAGCTAGAAGGAGGCCGCGGCTCGGGCTGCCGTGGCGTGCGGGCGGAACGGCGAAAAGTTCAGACCGTACGTTTTTACGGTTAAGGGGGTCTCGAATATGTTTTGCGTGGAGTAAAGGGCATTAAATAACGGTCATTCATGTTGCTGCTAGCCAGAGGGCTTAGCCAGCCAGCCGTAGGGACGTAATCAACCAGCGTATACATACCCTTTACCCTGTGCACGTACACGAGGAAAGCGAGCCGACCTGACCAGTTACCATCCAGCTTTCACGGTGGCTTCTCACAATAGGCCACCTCTTGGACCGTGTCCTGGACCCGGTTCATCTGCCTATAGGAGGGAGTCCCTAAGAAAAAGAGGCACAGGAGGTTTCCCCATTAGGAGTTGCCCATGGCAGCTTGGGGAAAATACCGTGTTACATGCTATGGAGCAGCCTCCCGTAGGACGACCTCCTCTTTGAGGGGGCAGGAGGTTTATTTGTGCGGACATGTTTAGTTAACGATGATGATTTGAGACCACTTCTGGTACTTCAAAGGTGCCTTCTGCGACGCAAGCCGTGGACGACGGCCAATCAACCCGAAACCAAGGGCTGAGTAGGCAGTGCTGTAATCACAAGGCTGAGAGTGCGATAAACTAGCTGTTCGTCATATGAAATAATGCAAAGAAATTCAGATCCCGCTTCTATATGCAAGTTATGCCCCGGCTATTTGAAAGAAAATGGTGTAGGGAAAGGGGGCTACTATCGCCAGCCTTCCCAAGATCATCAATCCTCACCCACCCACCCCGGCACACGCATGTATGCAAAACCCGATGCACAAACAGCAGAGAGCCAGACGCCCGCCCCAGTCATGACCGACCCTTCCCGCCACCCTGGAAGCTACTCTTGAGCACGCCGGGCTTCCTCTCGGCGAGGTCGAGCACCATCTGCCCAAACAGCCCGTTGGCCCAGCTGAACCAGGCGCGCGTCCACATGCCCGCGTTCCAGACGTTGACGCTCTCGTGCATGAGGCCCAGCCCGTCGGTCGACGAGACCAGCTGGCCCAGCAGGTTCCTGATCTCGTCGTCGTCGTCGCTCGTCATGATCCCCACCACCAGCGACATGGGCCACGCCATGCCCGGGCCGATGTGGGGCCCGCCCGTGCCGTTTATCACGGGCCCGTGGTCGTAGTAGGGGTTGGCGTCGGACAGGGCGAAGCGCCGCGTCGCCTTGTAGATTGGGTCTGTGCGGGCTACGTAGCCTGTTAGGGGGGAGGAGAGGAGGGAGGGGAGGTTTGCGTCGTCCTGTTGGGGATGTTAGATTTTTGTCTTTTTTTTTTTGTGGTTGTTGTTTCGACGGGGTATATATGTGTATTGTCGTGATGGAAGGGGGCTGTTATTGCTCACCATCAAGCTGGTCGAGTAGTACCCGTCCACCTCGTAGGCGTAGATCTCGCCAAACTCGGGGTGCTTGATCTTGCCGTACGTCTCGATGCCCTTCTTAATCTCCGCGGCCATGCGCCGCATCCTGTCGGCGAGGGGCTCGGCGTCGTCGTCGTCCTCATCCTCATCCTCGCCGTCCCCGATGGAATCGTCGTAGTAGTCAGAGGCGCTACTACCGCCCACGACGTCTTGGCTTGAAGGACTACCACCACCACCACTACTCGACGACGACGACGACGACGACGACGACGACGACGCAGCAGCAGCCTCCAGCGCAGCAGCGACCCTCGCCTCCTCCCTCTCGACGCGGTCCACGATCTCGGCGCAGAGGCCCATGTACCGCGCGAGCATCATGTTGGCCGGGATCAGGAACTGGAACGTGGTGGCGTCGTCGCTGGGCCGGAACGCGCTGCGCACCAGGCCCGTCCCCCTGCGCACGGGGCTCCCGTTGCCGCCGTTGGGCAGCGTCTCGGTCGAGGACGAGCTCGTGCGCGTGAAGCGGTAGGGGGCGTCGGGCACCATCCCGTCCTCCTTGTACGTCGGCGCGCGCATCGCCTCGGCCGTGTCCAGGATCGCCTCCACGGCGTCCTTCCAGCCGTCCATGGCGCCGCGGCGGGGTCCCCTCCTCCTCGTCGTCGTCTTGTCGCTGTTGCTGGGCGTCCTCTTCTTGTTGCTGCTGCTGCCGCCGCCGCCGCCCCCCTTGGTCGCGGCCTTGCCGGCCCCCTTCTTCCTCCTGTTGGCCGCCGTGGTGGGGGACGACGACCCGCCGCTGCTGGCGTCGACGAAGAAGCGCGCGTCCTTGGTGCGCGAGTAGTAGTCCCACGACAGCTGCAGGAACGCCGCCAGGCTGTCGAGCTCGTACTTGCACTCGAAGACGACGGCGTCGCTGTAGGGCGGGCTCACAAAGTCGGAGCGGTGGCCGCCGTCCGCGGGGGCCAGCCCGGACTCGGCGGGCGGCTGGAAGGCGTTGCAGTGCGGCGAGGCCAGGATGTACCTGCTCTGGAGGTTGATGGCGCCGCGGAACAGCGAGGCGAGCTTGCCGCTGCCGGGCTGGCCCTCGCCGCTGCTGCTGGATGATGATGACGACGACGAGGAGGAGCTGCTGCTGCTGCTGCTGCTGCTGCTCTTGTCGCTTGATGGTGGTTTTAGCAGGCTCACGTAGCTCTGGAGCTGGTTGGCCGAGTCGCGCAGCCACATGGCGTGGATGTCGCCCGTTGTTATGAAGGTGAGCTGGGGGAGGAGTGTCAGTAGGGTCTACTATCATCACGCATGTGGCAATAGATGGCAAAAGGGGCACACCTCTTCCTGCATGTTGGTCTTGGACACGCCCGTCCACGTCACAGAGGTGTCGAGCGTATTAGGGAAGCAGTTCTCAAACAGCCGGAACAGGTCCGGGTCCTTGATGGTCTTGTTCATCTCCCGGATGACCTCCTCGACCTCGGGGATGACAATCTTCCTGCAGCCCGGGCTGGGCCTCTGGTACGGCAGGCGGTGCCTGCCCGCGGACCTGGGCTCGTGCGGGTGCGCGGCCCACCGGCCGTACTCGGGGCAGTCGCCATCGTCGGTGACGGAGACGGGGGCCTTGTCGTAGGCGAAGGAGGGCGGCTCGATGTCCGACAGGATGGGCAGGTCCGCCACGGGGAGGAATGTGCGTGTCGTGGCGAAGATGGCGTAGAGGATGAAGACGCCGGCGACAAAGGTGTATGTCTGCTGGCGTGAGCGCAGCATGTTGTTGCGGCGCGGGGAGGGCAGGCCTCCTGGATACCGAATGCCTCGGGGCGTCTGGATGGCCACGCGCTTCTTCATACCCGTTTCAGGGGGGCTGGCGGGGGGATGAGAGTATAGGGGTGGGCGAGGGTGAGTGAGAGTGAGTTGATGAGGGCAAGTCTATGATGGACGCTGTCTGGTCATGTCGACAACGACGGCGACCACGACCACGACCACGACCACGACACTTCCTCCGGGAAACCAGTCCTTTGCCCGCTCGGTAGATAGGGTTGCAGTGTCCTCTGACGTGAACAGACTTGTTCAATTCACTTGGGGAAGAAAAGTAGCTTTGGGGATTTGTTGGAGGGTGTCCGGCACAAGGCTGAAACGGCCGACTCCAAGCGTCTTAATGTGTGTGTGTGTGTGCGTATGCGTGAGTGTGTTATGTGTGAGCGAGTACCGACACAAGCAACCAGCCCGGTCCAGTCAGTCGACCTCGGGAACACCCTTAGAATTAGTACCGTCGCGAGGCGGCGCCTTTGGTTCCGCACGTCAGCCCAGGGCCCCGGTACTTAGCCGAAGGTGAGTGTGTCTTACGGAGCAATGATACAGATTCAGCAGCACGAGGACTCCAGGAGCTGTTGCCGATGCTGAAAGTGTCTCATCGGCTGCATTGACTTTGAAGAATAGTCTCAAAGATCCAAAAGGCAAAGAAAAAGGCAAGGCGGCTGTCGATCGGCCAGTGGTCAGAGTGAGTGAGGGTCTGCAAGAGGGAAGAATATAAGCTTCCAAGCTTGGGCTGGTGTCAAGGCACACTGTAAGGGCAGAGTTAAAGCTTGCAGGGGAGGCATCAGTGATGGGTCGGGCCAACGACTCGTAAAGAATCCCCCAAACTCTCTCAAGTCTGAACGCCCAGCCGGAGCGTCCTGTCTGCCCGTCCGTGTTCTGTCTGGCCTGTTCTCAAGTGCTGGCCTGCCCGATGGGCGATGGCTGACGCCGGCCTCAGCCTTAAAGTGTGGTTTGGTCCGCAGTCCACCCCCATCAGTTGCTACATTAGCACCATCCTAGCGTCGGCAGAGCTCAGGGGCAATGCGAGAGAAGGGGGCGGGCCACCCGCAGCCTCATGCAGGCTAGCCTGGTTGAGCCGAGGAGCAGATGCCGGGGCCACTGGGGCACAGGTGGGAGTGAGAGAGGCGACGGGGATCATCCGAGTTGCGAGCGTACTACTATACGTACACAGTAGGGGACCCATTGGCCTCCTCCTTCTTGTCCTCTTCCGAAGTTGGATGGGTGAAATCTGGAATCTGAAATCTGAAATCTGGGGGATCGGCTGCTTGATTCGCCCTTGGCCGCATTGGGGTGGCGAGCTCGAGCATCGCCAGTTGCGCAGAGGATGAGGGAGCAGTGACGACTACTGCCATGCGTGTCTGGTCCAGCGTGCGCCGTGTTGAAACATGAGCCCCACCAGACAGACGGACGTCTGTGGGAGCCAGTGTTTGACCATGGGCGGCGACAGTGAGCGAGCTCATCCCATCTTGCCTTGCCAGCCCGGGGTTTGACATGTTTTGGGGTTTCTGGAAGTTCCTGATGGAACCCTGTGTGAGATGCGTGCACCAGACTTTGGGTGAAGGTCAGTGTGCTGCCCAGGTGCGCTTACCTAGGCACGGTAGTACTCCGTAATGGGTAGACTAACACGTCCTTCACGCATCCAGCACTATACGAAGACGTCCAAATGGATCTACACCACCATCATCAACATCGCCTCTCAACCGAGACCGAGTGAACTGACTAACTTGAGCAATAAACTGAGACTGAGCGGCGTGCCAAGCCCGCCCTCGTGTCTCGAGTCGCCTTACCCGAATTGGCATCGCAATTTAATCCGCGCACCTCACCACCTCGGAACATGTGCGAGGGCTTCTGGCCCAAAAAAAAGTCGACAATCACCCACTGGTGATCCTGGAGGGGTCAACCAGCAAGCTGCCTGGCTGCCTGGCTGCCTGGCTGCCCCGAGACAAGGCTGGTCGCCACATATTGTTGATCGTGGTGATCGTGACCGAATAGGGTCGGTGTAGTTGTTTCTCTACCGATCTGTGTTTCCCGTCAATCTTCAGCAACACAAACCAAGACCCAGGGAAAGCCCACCTGGCAAACCCGGCGGCCCGTTCCTGGATCTTGTTTCTCCTATAGTCAGTTCGGTGAATCGGTCTGTCTCGTCAGTTCTGCCAGTGCAGTCAAACTGTCTACCAGGGTTCACGGCCCGCTTCTTTTGATGCCTTTCTATCTTCGTCATCATGCAGTACTCGAACTTCATGCGTGCATTGATCTCATGCACGAATTTAGGGGCATCGGGACACCCGCCAGCCCGCCTGCACGCCGCTGCCAGGTGGCCCGGCACGCATATCTGCCAAGGCTGAGCCGGCGAGCCGCGTCGAGCCCTCGACACCCTCATCGACGGGATCGATTGTGCACATGCATCCATCACGGCCAAGGCTCTTTTCATTCATTCAACCCTAATTCTATGTACAAGAATACCCTTTCTTTTCTTTCGTCTACCCCCTAGATATCAAGCCTCACCCTCCACAGCAGCTTCTCCCCCAGCACGAAGACGGTCTTCTCGTCCCCGCCAAACCCAAAGTTGGACGCCCCGCCCTGCACCGTGACCTGCCCGATCAGGTCGCCAGCCTCGTTCCACACGGCGACGCCGGCCCCCGTGCCGGCCCACACGTTCCCCTCGGCGTCGACCTTGATGCCGTCCGGGATCCCGGCCGGCGCGAACGCAAACACCCTCTTGTTGGCGAGGAACGTCCCGGGGGCGTCGTAGACCACGTCGTACCTGTAGATCGTCGCCGCGCCGGCCGGGTCCTCGGCCGAGGCGCTCGCGTCCGTGACGTACAGCGCGCCAAAGTCGGCGCTGAACGCGAGGCCGTTGGGCTGCTGGAGCCCGTCCGCCACGGCGCGCGTGGCGTTTGCGGCCGGGTCGTGCCGGTAGACCTGGTTGGGCAGCTGCGGCGGGCCCCGGATCCCCTGCGACGAGCCGTAGGACGGGTCCGTGAACCAGATGGTGCCGTCCTCGCCGTCCTGTGGGTTCGCCACCACGTCGTTGGGCGAGTTGAACGGCCGCCCCAGGAACGAGGTGACCACGGGCACCGAGGCGTTGGGGCTGTTTATGGGGTCCGGGATGGAGAAGATGCCCGCGGGCCTCGTCTTGCTGCCCTGCGCCGTGAAGAGGATCCCCTCCGCGCCGGCGTGCAGCGCGCCGCCGTTGGGCAGGACTATGCTGGACGTGTCGAGCGGCTGCACCGCGATGGCGGGCGGGGCGGCGCCGTCCTGGGCGGCGGGCGCCGACACGTTCGTCACGGCGGAGAACCTGATCACCTGGTCGCTCGTGCTCTCGTCGGCCTGCCCCTCGGGCAGCGGGATGCGGTTCGAGCTGACGAAGAGCGTGTCCGCGGCCGCGACGTAGACGGCGCCCTCGTGGAAGAGCGGCTCCGTGGCGTTGTAGATGAGCTCGATCGAGGCGCTGTCGCCCAGGATGTCCTGGAAGCTGGCGTCGTACACGGCGAAGTCGGCGAGGTCCGGGTGCGACGAGGTGAGTTGCTGCGCCAGGGCACCGGAGCCCACGGCCGCCGCGAGGGCTGTCGCCTTGGTGAGGCTGGGCATCTTCGACCGCACTAGTAGCTGGTTTCAATGTTCTCCTCCCGCAGGATACTGTGCGTAAGCCTGGTCGGACGGAGGGAATGGCGTACTTGTCGTCACGCCAGAGGCAAGATCAAGGTTCGGGTATGTCAAGGCCGCGATAAAAATGAGTGTAGGGCGGGAGTCTCTGCTGTTGGCCAATGCCTGGGTTCACGCCGCTGTGACGCATGACGCGCGCCTTTGACCTTATACCTGGGTAGCGTCCTTGGTGGTATGGCCGACCTCGATGATCTGCACGAGCCTCGTCCACTATGGGAGCCTTGGAGGGTTCACGGCGAGTCAAACCGCCTTGGCGCCCAGACACGCATGTATATTTTCGGCGCCGGGTCCTCCAGCTGCGCGTGCAGAACCACGGGCTGGCCAGGCTTGCTTCATGCGGGGCCACTGCGGCTTTATAGCATGCTCTCAGTGCTCACTTAATGTCTGCTTGGCGGTGGGTCTGAATAACCTTTCTGGCGGAAATTGGCATGGAAACTTGGTAAGCTACCACGGTCCCCTGGGGAAAGCTTGAGTACAGGGTTGTCCTGGAAAGGGGGGTGAAGTGAATAATTCAAGTGATATATGTTCTATGACGAATGTTTTATATGTTCCAGTCTGGCCAATCAGTTGTAACGTGATCAGATCATATGCATGGACATGTCAGAGTAAAAGGATCGTGAGGTTTGAACGGCGAAAACCGCATCGAGGCCCTTGAAGGCTCTCATTACAAGATCAAGGTCCCGTGGGCTCGGTACTTCCCGGGCCTTCACCATCTGTTTCACCAGGGGGCAATTTCGGGAACATGAGCCAAATCAGCAGCGCCACCACGAGTAAGGCAAGGATGAAGAACTGGAAGGTCCGGATGCCCAACAGCTGGACCATGGCGCCCATGGCGAACGGCCCAAAGGCCGCCCCGAGCTGACCGACAGAGGCAACAAAGGACACGGCGCCGACATGCAGGTCCTTGGGTAGCAGCCGCGCGAGCACGACGATGCCGGAGGGGAACAAGGGCCCCAGAAAGAAACCCACGACGGCGACGGCGACGATCGACACCGCGGCGAGGTCCACGGCAGCCACAACTGCCTGGGCCGCAATGGCAATGATCACGTAGACGGTGGCAGCAACACGGACGCCGACCTTGTCCGTCACGAGGCCGAGGAGCAGCCGGCCCACCGCCATGCCGATCCAGAAGCCCGAGGACGACAGGCTGGCGACATATGTCGAGGCGTGGCGCGCCCGCAACATGAAGGTGACAACCCAGCCTGATATGGCAGACTCGGTGCCGACGTAGACCAGGAAGTAGACGGCGCAGGTCCAGGTGACGGCGTGCCGCAGCGCGCCCGCCCCAGCATGGCCAGCAGCAGGCGGCGGCGGCGCCTCGGACATGCGATCGACCGCCGCGACCCCATCGCCGCCCAGGCCCTGCTTGGGCGCCCCCAGCGCCTCGCGGTACCGCGCCCCGTCCTCGAACCGGAAGACCCACAGCAGGACCACGGCCTGCAGCACGACCGCGCCGAGGAGCACGTAGTACCACTCCCACCAGGGCCGCCCGCACACGGAGAACAGCGTGCCGGCCAGGAAGGGCCCCAGCCCCGCGCCGACGGAGAAGCTCCCGTGCAGCAGGCCCTGGACGAGGTTGCGCCGCCCGCCGCCCAGCCCGCCGGCCCACGCGCACCACGACCCGTCCAGCAGGCCGGCTCCGACGTTGCCGCAGGCCGTGGCGGCGAGGAAGACCTCGAAGCCGCCGCGCTGCGGGTCGTGGAAGCTGGCGGCGAGCGAGGCGAAGAGGGCCTGGCAGACGGGGGCGACGGCGGCGATGCCGCGCTGGCCGAGGCGCCGGTGCAGCGGGTCGTTGAGGTAGGCGCCGGCGAGGTAGCCCCAGGGGGCGACCAGGAAGACGAGGCTCGCGCGCACGTCCGAGAGGTGGTAGTGGGCCTCCAGGTGCGGGAGGACGACGCCCGGGGTGGAGATGAGCATGCCTGGGTGGGTGTTAGTTGTGTGTTCTCTTAGTACTAGTAGTAGTAGCAGTAGTACGTACCCAGCACGAGGAAGGAGGTCGTCGTGGCCAGGATCTTGGCGGCTGTGCCGGTTGTGCGCGCGTGGGATGTGTCGTGCTCGTGGGCATGGCACAGGTCACCAGGAGACAGGCTGCTGTCTTCCTGGATCGGCACGGGGGCGACCTCTCTTAGCAGGGGCTGACGTTCGCCCCGGGCTCGCTTTGAGTTGTCCATCCTGAAAGACCTGGGATCCTTTGGTGCTTCTCCCAGGGCGTGGGCGTCTGAGGGCCCGTGAGAGTTGGTGGCAGGGAGCCCCGTCGGCTTGACGAGGGAGTCGAGCTCCCCCATGTCGACACCCCCACGCCCGAGGCGCCGAGGTGGGCGAATGACGTTCTAGATTTGGAGAAGAGGTCAGCCGCTTGTGACGCCGGGGCGACCCTGCCACAGGGTAAGCGCACGGGAGCCTGCTCGACTGCCGAAACCTTGGGAACGCATGGCATGAAAAGGCTCTTTTATACGCATTACAAAAATGTTGCCACACTAGCATGCTGAGTCCGGAAGGGAGCGTTGAAACATTGGACATGTGGCTTGTACAAGCTATTCCTGAACCACGACAACTTGAACTTGATGAGATTCGTCTTTCAAGAATCTAGTTCAATCGGTGGTGCTTGGCCGTTTAAATTAGTGGAGGTGATCTAAAATGGTTGACTTATGACTTGATAGCTACTGAACTTGTATTTTTTGATTTTGGATATTCAGCCTGGATCGCTCGCTATTTTGAATGCAGAGTTGGATATGCGCCTACATATGTATTCCGCGACCCTTGCTCATACATGCGAGTGCGCACCCTGTTGATGCTGTCTTACCTGCGGTATCACTAAAGATTCGATCCCAGACTTTCCAGAGTCATCAGCTTTAGTTACGATTTGAGTAGGTTGGGTTCAATGGGCTTACTGAGAGTCCCCGTATAAGTGGCGGCAAATCGAAGTTGTGGAGCAAGACGACGTATATAAGCCGTGCCACCTCGGAAGGTTCCAGCCCGCCTCAGCTGTGAGCGCCACACAGAGCTGAGCTTCCACAAACGCTCTCCCAGGGTAAACTTTCCATTCTTGTGTGTGCTGGTGCGAAAAATACCGGCCCACGCGCGAAGTCGCAATGGCCTACTCTTAGGTGCTGAAATAAATTATTGATACCCCGAGCCGCGGTCGAAAGGAAACAGAGTAGCTGAAACCGCAAGCATGTCTTTACTGGTGATTCTACCGCAACGCTTTGTGTTCGCGAGAATAATACTCCTGCACGACCTCTGACCCACACTCCTTAACGGCGCCCGTTTTGTGAATCACCTGCCGGCTCAGTATGGTCGACGATACAAACACAAGAAGCCCCATAGAGCAAGCCGAACATAGGATTAATCATGATGGACAAGCCGCCATGCCAGTCACGCTGGAATCAGTTATCACCGCGAATAGCCAGGATGTGTCTTTTGGGGCTGAAGACAATAGGAGTCTAGAAACCGGGCATCCGTCAGAATCATATAACATGGAACCGTTGCCAAGCACAACGCCTCGAGACTACGAGACTCACCCTTCAGAGGCGTCCGCTGGCCAAGTTTATCAAAGCCAGAGAGCTACTCTCCCGGGAACTTCTGACTGGCCGCTGGCCAACGGAAGCCGGGTGAACGAGACGAACGAGGATGAGGCAAGAAGCCAGGCCGGTGGAACTGCACCACACAATGCCACGCCTGGCTCTCCAATTATCACGACAGATTATTCGAGAACGGAACCGATGCAGTATGAGCACCATGTCGGCAGCCAGGCCCAATTCGTCGCGGAACACGATCCGGAGCACCATGGGGCATGTCGCCAGAGGTGTATTCGGACATGGGAGGTAGTCAAGCGGCCCGGCCCGAGGGAGATGCGGGAGGCGTGGGAGGTCGAGACTATCTGGGCCACCTGGTTGCTGTACGTGTCCTTCCGTTCTTTTCTTTGTCTTTTTATCTATAACAGAAGTCATTGCTGATTCGAACAAGCTTTTTCTGCTGCATTGGGACGTGCGGATGTCCTATGTGTTGCATTCTCTGCTGCTCAAGTTGAGATTCTAGTTTCCTCAGTATTGGTGCCAAACAGATTCCAATCGTGTCAAATAATAGTATATATGAAGGAAATCCAGAGGCTGGAGTCCACAGCCTTGTATAAAATAAATAGCCCGGGCCGTTGATTTTGACCTACTGCACTTCTTGGTAGGACAGCCGTAGCAGCGAAATTGTTTGAGCATACAATGAGTACACGCAAGGAGTCTTCCTCAAATACCGCATGCTGGTCCAAATTTGAAGTTACTGGCACTTTCGACTGTTAAGCACATCCATTCTCTGTAAACATAGAGTGCTTGTCGAGAACCCAGATTAGTAACCCTGAGCTACGGCAAATTAGGGGCCTGATCAGTTGAAGCATGAACATTTATTACTTGAGTTTCAAGTTACACGATGTGTTCAAGCCAGTACACGGTTTAAGGTCAAATTCAGTGTATCCATCACGCGCCCGACTCCCCCCCTCCCACACACTGTCACGGTGCATACTGGTGTGTTGAGAGACGATACATAATTGTGAGACCAAGAGGCGGCGCCTACTGAAGAAACCTGCAGGACTGTGCCCAAGCCATTGCTCCACCGAACACACAAAACAACCCAAGTCCACCTAAGGGAGTGTAGAAAATGTTTTTGGAAGACAAAGCGCACCGCAGGGAAAGGAAAGCCAATGACCAGAAGAGAAGGCCAACTAGCTGTTGTGATAGTGCCTCTCCCGCCCTTGTTTCTAGATCTCAACCTCATCACAAACCGTTTCTTGTATCCCAAGGGTCCCGAGGCACCTCCGACTTAGTCCTTTCTCCTCCGTTGAGCCATAGACCGGCAGCAGATAGTGCGCTTCACTCCATAGAGTACTCAAAGCCACCATCATCGACCTTCCTTGGTTGCGGAGGCGAAGGACCTGAAGGATTGGGCACACGGGAAGACTGCATAACGTTACCTTGCACGCCCAGGTTGGGTGACTGGACTTGAGGAGCTTCCTGGGAGTTCGACACCCATGGTGGCGGCGGGTCACGCAACTGTTGCTGCATGAATGTTTGGAATTGTTGCTGTTGCAGTGGTGTCATTCCCTCGGGCCCCACCTGTCCCAGCCATGGCCCTGATTGTCTGTTGGCATGGCTCTGTGCATGTTGGAACTGCATGCCGGAAAAGGTTTGGCCGGGCTGTGGTGCTTGCTTGGGCTGGACTGGGGCGGGGAATTGGCCCAACGATCTGTGATCCATGATGTTGCCTCTAGGAGCGTCCTGCACAGGCATGGATTGGTATGGGACCTGCTGATCCGGCTGCTGAAAACCGACGGTCGGGCTCAGATGAGCTGTTCTCGTCACCGGAGCTGGCTGGTAAGCTTGGCTGTGGACGGCTTGCGCTGGTATCGACGGCGCAATGTTGTACGATTGAGCATTGCCGTAGGGCTCGAAGGTCCCAGTTGAAGCTGCCGACCGCATAAAATCGGCATGAGGTTCTCGCAGGCCACGTTCTTTGGCCCTCCACTCGTTATTCATGCCATATAGATGATCGAGGTACTTCGTGAACTCGAGGTAGGCCTTTGACACAGTCTTGAAATTCTCAACTGAAAGTCGCACATCAGCATTTGGATCCCAGCGCTCATGATCTTCGCCTTGTGCCTTGAACTCGGCCAAAGCAAGGGCCGTCTGGCAGGCGTTCCGAATCTGTCGGCCGTTCCATCTGGCCTTCTCGTGTATTCTAAAATAGTCCAGAGCAAAGTCGATGATCTCGTCACGTTCAATGTCGATGTTTCTCTTGTCGATGTTGAAGCGGTCCTCAATAAGCTTCAGGTTCAGCTTGAAAACAGCCCGAGTCTCCTGGTAACCCAAAGGTGGGTAGTACAGGCTGATATGGACTCGGCTGCGGAACGCCTCGTCAATAACTCCAACTCGGTTGGTGGTGAGAAAGAGAATTCCAGCGTAATATTCAAGGACACGGAGAAAGACTGTACAAGTGCACGGAGGTTGCATTAGCACACTTCACCCTACACCTTGCAACCTTGGAATCGCAATATTTTGGAGGAATACTGACCCGCAACAAGGCCGTTTCTCTCGAAGTTATCGTCAGTCCGAGAAGACAGAAATACATCTGCTTCGTCAAGAAGCAATATACATCCCCATCTATTGGCAAGGCTGAAGTTGAGGTCCAATGCTTGTTCCACCTCTCGAGCAGTGGAGCCGAGATCACCTTCAAAAGAATAGTATCCGTCAATAAATCGTCAAGGGCATCAGAGGAGTGGATAATGAAAAATTGCGCCGCTTACCGCAAGTGATCGTGAAGAGCGGTTTCTTGAACTTTTCTGCAATACCCTCTGGTATATGCGTCAGACTGCTTCGAAGACGTCTTCTTTCAAATTACTCACCTGCAGTACTCGTCTTTCCCACCCCAGGAGCCCCATGCAGAAGCAGAATGAGACCCTTTCCTGTTATATATCACCACGTCAGTAGCCATCGTGCCTAAAACGATGACGGACATCTCTTTCGAGTTGTGTTGCAGGCTTTCTGAGAGATTTCTTAAATGAAGGGTTGAAGGAATCCGGATTCCTACCTTTGCCCTTCACAATATCAGACTGGTCAATGCCGCGCCTCCCATAGTATCTGTTTCGGTAATATTGTGATATCAGTGACATCACAATGTTCTTATGTCCGTCGGGCAACACAAGCTGCTCAAAAGCTGGTTCCTCAACTCTGTTTGTGCTCTTATCTTTCGATTGAACATCACCTCTGGTTTCATCTTCCATGTAGGTCAGATCCAGCTCAGCTGTGATGCTTCAAATTAGCAATGTCCTTAGCTCATTTGAATTCTAACGAAACTATTTTCCACAACCAGAGTGCATAGTGTAACCGACGATACGGTAACAGGCAGTTCTTTCGTATTAATCACATCCCACAATATTCACTCCATCGAGTGCAAGTTGTAGTATCATCCAATAAGATGAGACTCTTCAAGTTGATAAAAGACGCAAATCAACAAGTGGGAAATCAAATTCACTTACCCCATTTTCGAGTTCTCAGTACAAATGCGAATACACGATAAGTCATGATGAGAAACTCCTCGTCCGTCAGAGCATTCTCTCCGATCGTATCCTCCAAAGCCCGTGGGTATACAGCAACAGAAGGTAGTTTTCCGTGTGCCTTGGGGATAAAGCTGTTGACAAAATCTTCTCTGCGGATAGTATCCACGAAATCGTCGTTGAAAACGTACTCGCCCTCGCAACAGGGTCCTAAGCACCGAACGTCGTCCGCAGGGATGGGTTCCGTTGGATTGTCAGTATTGCTGAGTAATGATTCGAGGTTGGGGACCAGCCCTTTCTCAAAGTTCGTACCCGATGCCAATGCTGTTTCGAAGTCGACCACCACCTGACTCTCAACTTCATCACCCTCTGCTGTTGGTCCATTGTAGAATGCGTTATCCAACCTCATGCATGCAGCTTCAAAGAACCTTTTCCCTCTCTGTATCAACCGTTGCCTGAGAGCTGTGGTGTCTGGTGGAACAGGGAGATTCGTTCTTCCATCGACTGCGCAAATGTGAAGCCGAAGTGGATAGACTTCGAGCGAGTCGACCGGTCTCTCGCCTGCAAACGGCTTCACAGCAAATGTGATCAACACCGGCCCAAGCCTTTTCCCGTCGAAATCTACATACACACACGTCACCTCAAAATTCATCGACGAGCCGTTGTCATTGAAGTCGAAAAATGCGTTCTTGAGTGATCCTTTGTGTCTAGGATTGCCGACACCGATGACTTTATACACCTGCTTTCTATCCAGCCTGATCACCTCGTCTCCAGGGCTGAAGAGGTACCATAAATCTCGGAAATAGACTTGCCGACAATGCGTGCCTTGAACATAGTCTCGTCTAGGTACGACGAAGATATCCAGGAACTTGATGACACAGCTAATGTAATTGACTGCTGTCTCTGTTTTGGCTTGCGAGAGCATGATGGTATCGATGGGGTCCAGGGGTGTGCTTTGCTTCCCATCACTGGCCTGGTCGGTGTCTTCGTGTGCTTGAACGCTCACATGGGGTGGATCATCTTGTTTAGTGAACTCGTCGAGCTTTTTCTTCAGGGTTTCCTGTCGACCTCTGATCTTTCGCTCGTTATATATGAGCACGCGATATGGCTGCAAAAGAATGGTCTGAACACCTAAACGCCAGGAAGCTCCGCGCGCAAGTCCAATCGAGGTGTAGATTGACTCGGGACAATTGAGCCGGATCCGCTCTGGAACAACCATCTGCTCTGCCTCGGGGAAATCGAAAGGTATCTCGCTACTGTGCGCTCTCGGAGAGGGCCAGTGTCTCTTCATAAGGTTGACTTCGGGTTCGCCTTCCAATACGTCCACAGCATAGAGAGTCTTCCGGTTTTCGCTGAGATAGGTTTTTTTGGGCGAGCAGGACTTGAAATGCTCCCACTTGGCGCGGATGATTGTAGATCTTGGCTGAACATCGTGGTAAAAGACCCTTCTCGCATCTTCCGCTGGTTCATGCCGTTGGAAACGGTCCACCCAGTCCCTGAGACACTCATATTTTTGCCGAATCACCTCGTGAATTTGACCCCGAAGCTGACGTTCTTGAGCGTCGTATCCTTTAGCCTCCATAGTGTCGTTGAATAGCGATTCAAAGCTTATCCCATCGTACATTTGCGCTGACATGGTAAGATGGCGGCCGTAGTTAGGCCACTCCGACGCCGACCTGATAGAAACGTCGGCTGGCGAGGGCGCGATGCCCCTCTTAGCTTCCCATTGCAGTCTGCGTAGATTGAGCTTCTTCTCGAACTCTTCACGCGCTATCATTTTCTGAACGAAACTCTTCTGGCTATCGTGGAGCCATTCTTTGCCAAATGCGAAAGCCGTTGCTTCCTGCAATAAATGTTGCGATCTCTCCTCCTTCACGAATCTCCATCTCCGGCCTTCCATGTCGCTTCCTTCCTGCTCAATACTCTCGTCCCATCGATTTTCAATTTCATTAAGCTTTTTTTCCAATGGGAACCCAAATTTTACTCTCTCCAAGTCCTGCTCAAGCGCTTCAATGCTGCTTAAGACTTCTGCTTTTGTTTTGCTGCCACCATCCGAGATGCGGACATCATCGCCACTCTTGTTCGTGTCGATAGGTTCCTTGCTTGATCGTTCTGATAGCTCTGATTCCTTCGTTTCAGGAACGTATTGAGCTCGCGCACTGTCATCGTCCTGCGATTGTCGCGAGGCAGTATTTGCTGCATTTGATGACACCCCGTCCTGTATGCCCGGGCCTGGTTGGGTGGGAACATCTTGATTCGGGCTGATCATGTCTTGTGTCGAATATGGTCAGGGGCAAGGTACCTAGGTAGTGACTTGAATCCAATATCGCAAGAATATCAGTGACTTGGGAGATAGAGAAGCTTTTCACTTGGGCAGAGAAGGTGGGATGTTTTGTGTGTTCGAGGAATTGCAGGTGGGGTAGGTAGCTTTTGTCCAAGTGAATTTCGAATATTGTCTTTGTGGAATGACCTCAAAGAAACCACAAAAGAAGCATGAACACGATATCAATAGTTCATTTTAAGTAAATGCCTCAAACCACAAAGTTAAGAATCATGTTCTCAAAAATACTCCAAATGTCCCCGCAAGAAGACACTTTCTGTCGAAGCGGCCAACAGATTGTGACATGAGCAACACAAGAGTGAATACCCTTAAGGAGCTCGATCCGAGTGGCCATTTGATAATACTTGTCGGTCGACTTGCATACCGGTCTGGCGCATTGGTGCTGTGGTGTGACACCACAGTTTCCGCACGTCCAGCCATACTACAAGGCTTGACCGGTTCTGGATGCCGAACCAGATTTTCATGCAATATGAAGCTCGGCTGAAGGGCTTTGGCCAATTATTGGTATAATTGAAAGCGCGTAATCAAGTGTGGCGTTACACCATCTCGGCCAACCCAGGGCCGCCCACTGGGCCTTGAACATCCGCGATGAGGATAGGTTTGTCGCAAAATATGCGGTTGGCCGGCTGAGGTATCTAATTTCATTCCATCAGAACCAACCATATGCCGCTTACTACCTCGGTGTGGTAAAATTCACAAGCCTTGCATGTGAAGCCCACGGCCGTTTTTCCGATAGTCTTAGTTGTGTCTCCGCCCCCTGATACTTGCATGAGACGACTCTGCAGGACTTTTCCAGCGCGGTTTGGCATTCTATACCACCATAGAGCTCCTGTAGATAGAAGTCATGGATTGATCATCCTAAGCATTCAGTTCTCTATGCTGCGGCAGTGCCTATTGTATTAGACAGAGTTCATGTTGGAACTCATGACCAGCAGTATCTCAATAACGAATTTCGCTGTAAAAGCTGCTCGATTTCAGCAGAATGGAGCAGAATAGCCCGCCCAGCGGGCTTCAAAGTCGGTCGCCTGCGGTTCTATTTATAGATGAGCGGCTTCCACATCATGATCCAGCTTTTATGGATGCCCCGAGCGCATTCGACCAGGCTTCTGGCCAGTACTTGCCTGTACTACCTGCTTCCTCGGGTCAAGGTGATGCAGGGAGATCGACGGTAACGAAACCAGAATGGAGATCTCAACCCTCTCAGGGCGAAGTCACGATACCCGACCAGGAACGCCAGACTGCCGATCTGGAATCCATGAAGTTCTGGGACAACATATTCGAAGAGGCGATTGCAATACTGTTGGCTGAATCTGTAGAGCCAAAAATCCTGGGCAGCTCGGCCTGTGGTATTCGTAATGCCAGCGGGTGGGGCGAGGTTTGCTCTCGCTTGAGCAAGGCTCAGAACGCCTACACAGGTGAAGATGGAACTGCTTGCACGCTCAAGCGTATGCGACGCAGAGTTGCCGACAACTTCAGTCAACCTGCGGCACATATAACGAAGCTGGTACCTGTAAGTACCAATGCTGTTCTTTCCATTCTCGGGTTTCAACTTTTGGAACATATCAAGATTTACTTCACACTAGTAGACTGAATAGTAGGGCCCCAATACTAACACGTGCCAGGATATAGAGCCATGGACCACTCCCGTAGCCGGGACATTTGGCCTCCTTCTGCAGGCCATGACGGTGGCGGCGAAAACAAGACAAGAGGTTTTGACGAGTCTTTCAGATCTTTCCAAGACATTTTCGAACATCAACAGTTTCGCTGCTACCTTTCCCAGGGATGACAGTGTTAGAGAGGCATCGGTGTCCCTAGTTGTGTCTATCTTCCAGGCAGTGGAGCAGGCAATGGCATTCTTTCTCAAGAGTTCAGGTAAGTTGGTGTGTTACTTTGGGTGAGCCGGGCGCCAGCTACGGTTTGACTTACGTGGTGTTTAAAACTTGACATAGGTCGAAGAGCCGCAGCGGCCGTGCTTACTGGTAGCGAATATCAGACCACGCTGCTCAACAGCTTTAATGAAGTTCAGAAACGAAGCAATTACCTGGTCCAGAAGGCGCAGAACTCCCATTACGAGGGGACGAGAACTGCAATGCAGGAGATACTCACTCGTGAGGCCCAGCTGCTTGCAGGGCAAGCCGAAGCTGCCAGACACTCAGCTGACACGAAGAACACGATCCTGAGCTTGATGCAGGTGTACGTGAGAGAGAAAGAATTGGATCGGAAGCAGCACCAAGAAGAACTAAGGCGCAGAGACGAGATTCAGAAGCAACAAGATGCAATGCACCGGAGGGACCGCCAAGGTAATGTGCAGTTAAACAACCAAGTCAACATGGTGTTCGGCCTGCTAAAACTGAATCATTGTGGCAGAACTTATTGCACTTATGAATCAGCTTCAAATAGCTCCGCGTCCTGTCTCGCCTCTTCCGGCTCCCCTGGCACTCTTGCCATCTCCATCATCTTGGGACGGACCACCTATGCATGTACCAAGCTTTCCCATCTGGACAGCCCAATCACTTCTACAGCTGCTAGGTGTCCCGGATGTATCTTCTTCAGACCTTTCGAGGGTCAAGAACCTGGGCACAATATTGGCGTTGAAGGACAAAAAGAAGGCAGATCGGGTGGTCCAGAGTGAACTCTTCAGGCAGTGGATGGGTTCTGTCAGGCCAGTCAAGCTTCTAGTACACGGCGACTTTCGCGGCAGCAGAACCGCGTCACCTCTGACCTTATTAACCGCCACTCTGACCGAAGCGGGTCGGGCAGATCCCACTCGCTTCGTTACCCTCGTGTTCTTCTGCAGCTGCCACATTGACCCGTCCGAAGATGCCCTCGTTGGTGGCAAGGCGTTGATCCAGTCTCTCATCTGTCAGTTGTTGCACCAACAGCCTCACATGAACATATCGCCTACCCCCTGGGAGTTCCATCCCGAGCGCGTCGGCCAAGTGGATTTACAACAATTATGTCACCTTTTCAGCCTGCTCGTCCGTCATCTGCCAAGCGAGACCACTTTGTTCTGTTTAATCGACTGCATGGTATTCTACGAGCGCGATGAATTTATTGCCGAAGCGCACTTTGTCCTGGCAGAGATTACGCGACTCGTCGGCGACCCCGCCGTTCAAGCCAACACGAAGCTTCTCATCACCAGTCCGTGGAGGTCAGGCTTAGCACATCAGTTCTTCCAGGGGGACCGTGAAGTTTTAAACATGCATGGTATGCCATCTATTGGGCTTACACCCAGTTCTTCTCGGGTAATCGATCGTTACATGCTGCATTCGGGCTCCGAACCTAGCTGGGAAGGTTCACCTGAGCCTTGGTAAGGAGTAGCAGTGGATATAACTCGGGAGGCATGTTTCGAATTGGTGATTGATACCTCGGTAAGCGGTGCTTGTGCGCTCTACGATAGATGGATCATGGTCTCACTGCTGTTTTCTAGGAGACAATCAATATTTATCCTTCTTGTATTCATCTTTCTGTCGTAGTATCCTGCAATAGTCTTCCATCCGGGGTGCATTGCCACTCAAGCTTCAGAACGGGATGATAGGCTCCCCAGTGTCCCGTTCCATGGCCGGATATATCCATACCGGTGACATCCATGTCAGCCACATGATAACCCAGAGGTAACCAATTGCCCTAATAACTAATCCCACGATAGGCGGTAACCTATCCACGCTGAATTCGCCTTGCCTCGTGACACCCAACCCCTGACTGACCGCCACTCTTCCGGCTGTGGCCAGAGCCAGGTCCTCGAGCATGATGGCCGGCACTTGCCAGCAAAAGAAGACCACGGCACCGCTCTCACGCACGGGAATTCCCATCGCAATGTCAACGAGCAAGAAAAACCCTGCAGAAAGGGCAAACACGAGGCTCATAAATATGTATCGCGCCACCGGGCTATCTCTGGATAGCCGCAGGAAGCGTGACGTGATGCAGTGGGCGATGCTGCTGCAGCCACGGCGGAGGAGCTGGTGTTGGAACTCGCTATGAGGGATACGAAGTCCTGTTAACAAGAATGCACTGCATGAAGATTTACTTGGAGGGCGTATTCCCGGACTTGGGATCGTCCACATCAGGGGAGAACTCACCCCCAAAATTGGCGCAAAGACCACGCCGAGCTCAGCCGACCGAACACGGGTGGCCACACTTGGACCTCAGTGATGCGTAGGGCGACTGCCACCGTGGCGGAGAAATCGTAGAGAAGACTGATGATGACTCGTTGGACTATCCAGTAACCGTGAACATCCAGGATCCTGATCCGCAGCCGCTCCCAGTTGATGAAGCCGGACCAGTCCGCGGTCGGGTCGATGACGACCCCGACCATTGGGATCTCATACGGGGAGAAGAGCACCCAGTTCTGGACGGGATCGCCGGACGGCCTGCCCATGCGCAAGATCAGAGTCAGGATGGCGATCTTGAGGCCCATGCTTCTGATGAATGCTTCCCTGGGTGGGATGTCCGCGCGGTCGAAGCCCCGGGTGTGCTTGACACCCCACGGCGTGCAGGGGAAGCGACTCTGCAGTGCGATGCTGAAGCCGAAGCGCAGGCGTGATGCAACGCTTCTCGGCCGGGGCTGTTCGGTCACCTCAGGACCTTCGGGAGAGTGGCCGCCTTCCTCGGTTGCGTCCTTCTCCTCAGGCTTGCCCTGGTCCCCTCTCTCCGGGGTGGGATCAAGCCCACCAAGGGAGGAGGTCGGGCCGTCGGCGTCAAAGGCCCACCTGCTCAGCAGGACCGTGTCGAGGTACATGAGGGCGAGGAAAACACTTGCAGCACCGACGAAAGGCCGGGCGATGGGATGCTGGACGCGCGCCTCGGATAGCTGGGCGTATGTGGCGAGAAGCGTGACAAGTAACCCTCCGAGGCGAAGAAGGGAGTTATGCGCCGCGAATCCAACCACAATACTCGTGGTGGTCACCTGGACGGCGATGATCGCAAGTGCAGCTATCGGCTGCGGTACACCGGCCATCTTGGCGAATCTTCAATGTATGAATCGGAAAGTCAGATAAATGAGTGGCATGAGGAGGATGGCTCTTCCCAACAACATCGGACAGACAGCTTGGAAATATTCCAAGGCTCGTGGACGACTGCATAGGTGGCCTTGTATGAGCATGCGAGGTGAAAATATCACACAAGTCTGCTTGGCTCGCAGCACGAAGCTAGACTTCGTACGGCCTGGTGCATATAATTTATCACATATTGCTGACTACAGGTGCTCGTCCCCAGGCAATGGCAAGATGCTCATCCATAACTCAAGTCGTGACAGTGAGTAAGTTGTGCAGGTCGCTGTGATACCTCACGCCATGACAGCTGAATTCATCCAGAGGATGCCATATCCGCTATTCTCCACACATGCAGCCTCCTATGCGGAGATAGATGTACAGACGGGAGGGCTTACCATTATAGCGGAGCTCAGACTCAGCCAGCCGCTTTAAGTCGCTTCTAGTTAGAACATCCGCTAACTACTTAAGTAGCCATAGGAATGAGGTAGTATGACCCATTGACGAATTGTATTTGATCTTGTACCTCTCTGGTGAGCATTAGTTGAACGCTCCATTGCGCCGGTTTTGATTCCGTGGTGCTTCTCCACTTTTTACCAGTCCGTCTGCCATAGCATGGAGGTACAAGAAAGGGCGCAATAGCATTATGAAGTCAATCAGAGCTTCGGGAGAAGAGTGTGAATACCGAGGTAAATAGCATCACGTTGGGCAAGTCTGTGACGTGCAGTTGACAGCTACCCAGGCAATAGCTTGCTGCTACTCCAACGTGCGTCTGGACTTTCGCCACCGTGAGGATGCCAAGCCAGCGGGTTTAGGCATGTCCCCTGCCAAGGGCCGGGGGAAGAGTACAGGCGGGATCCGACACCGTGTCAAGAATGTGGGTCCAGATGGATTCCTTCAATGTTGGCTTCACATGTTGGGCGCCCTCGAGACATGTCTCAGAGCCGACCGCAAGCCCGGTGCGCCTCAGCCTCTTCTTGTCAGTCTGGTCAAGTAGCTTGAGCCGCCTTTGCATCCGAAAACGCACACGCGCAGCTCACACACACCCGCACATGAGCTGACACGGAGGGGGTGCATCCGCTGACCACTTCATGCCGCCTCGGTCCGCAGCAGCCACGACATTCCTCCTCCTTGGCGCCGTCACCTGAAGAAACGCGACCTCGCCGAGCTGAGGTTCGGACCACAATCCTTGCCATATACGCGGCTCTCACGTCACTTGCTCACATCTGAGCGGGCTGCAAACCTGCATGAAGCCCGCGTCGTCGACGCCGAGCTGAGTTATCGACCATGGCGAGCGGCGCGCTGCCCCGGGGCGCCAAGTACAAGGAGAAGGCCGGCACGCCGTACCGGCCCAAAAGACTCCCACGCCGTCCCAACAGGAGACAAGTGGTGGTGTACACACTGGTATTCTTCCTGGTCGTGATACTAATCCCGGTGCCCGGGTTTACATCATTCAGAGGATCAGTACTGGACCTCATCATCCCGGGGCACGCCGTCCCCAAGAGACTGACGCCGGCGCGGGGCGTCCTGAGGTACATCGACCCCCTGATCGGCACGACCAACGGCGGCCATGTGTTCCCCGGCGCGACGCTGCCGTACGGCATGGCCAAGCCCGTGGCCGACTCGGCCAACACGCACGAGAACGCGGCGGGCTACGTGGAGGACATGAGCTTCATCAGCGGCTTCTCGCACCTGCACGACTCGGGCACGGGCGGGCGGCCCTCGATGGGCCAGTTCCCCCTGTTCGTGCACCCGGGCTGCCCGGACGACGACGTGGCCAGGTGCAAGTACATGACGCTCACCCGGGCCGTGATGCGGTGGCCGCTCTCCTCCAAGGCCAAACCGGGCTACTTCTCCATCCGGCTCAAGAACTCGGTCGCCGCGGAGATGACGGCGGCCGAGCACACGGCGCTGTACCGGTTCCGCTTCCCGGACAAGGACAGCCCCCAGGACGGCGACGGCAAGAGCGTGCCGTACTCGCCGCTGATCCTGGTGGACCTCAACGACCTGGACAACACACGGCACGGCGGCGGGATCCGCGTCGACGCGGACACGGGCGGCGGCGCGCGTATCACAGGTGACAGCAAGTACCGGCCGTCGTTTGGCACCGGCGAGTACGACGCCTTCTTCTGCGCCGACTTCAAGGGCGCCACGGTGCGCAAGGCGGGCACCTTCATGCAGGACGTCCCCGACGCGGGCCGCCGCATCCTCGAGAACGACCCCGGCGGCGACTTCAGCCTCCCCGGCGGCTCGGTCGGCGGCTGGGTCCAGTTCGAGAGGCCGCCCGGGGACGAGATCCTGGCGCGCGTCGGGCTGAGCTTCATCTCGCGCGAGCAGGCGTGCCGGAACGCCGAGGCGGAGATCCCCGGGTGGGACTTTGCGGGCGTGCGGGCGCGGGTGGAGGACGCGTGGGCCGACAAGCTGAGCGTCGTCGAGGTGGACGAGGCGGATGTCGACCCGGCGCTGCTGGTGACGTTCTGGTCTGGGCTGTACAGGACGATGCTGTCGCCGCAGAACTATACCGGGGAGAACCAGCTGTGGAAGTCGGATGAGCCTTACTTTGACTCGTGAGTGAGACAGCCCGCAAGCAGACACGGGAATAAGTCTGACCGTGGTCGTTTGTTCTTCTTAGGTTCTACTGCATCTGGGACTCGTTCCGTGCTCAGCATCCCCTGCTGAGCATCATCGACCCCAACGCGCAGGCCCAAATGGTCCGCACACTGGTCGATATCTATCGAAACCTTGGTAAGCACGGCCTCAAAGGACAGGGCTCAGTTCAACCGTTGACAAAGAATCACAGGCAAACTGCCAGACTGCCGCATGGCCTTCTGCAAGGGCTTCACACAAGGCGGTACCAACGCCGATGTCGTGATCGCAGACGCGTTCCTCAAGGGCATCACGGACGGCATCGACTGGGAGACAGCCTACGCAGCAGTCATATCCGACGCCGAGGAGGAGCCGCTGAGCTGGAACACGGAGGGCCGCGGCAACCTGGTCAGCTACCACAAGCTGGGGTACATCCCCTACGACGACCAGGACACCAACGGCACGGGGCGGAGCACGCGCAGCATCTCACGCACAGTCGAGTACGCGTACGACGACTTCGCCATCGCCCTCCTCGCAAAGGGGCTGGGCAAGGAGGACGACTACCACAAGTACATGCAGCGCAGCGGCAACTGGCGCAACCTGTGGAACCCGGAACAGGGCGACGTGCTGGTGCAGCCCAGCAGGCAGCTCGGGGCCGAGGAGGAGGAGCACGTGTGGAGCGACTGGAAGGGGTTCCTGCAGGAGCGCGGCGTGGACGGCAGCTGGCGGTACCACAACACGCGGACGTGCAGCCCCGTGCACGAGATGCACCGGTGCTACCTGGACACGGGCATGGGCACGTACGAGGGCAGCCCGTGGCTGTACAGCTTCTTCGTGCCGCAGGACATGGCGGGCCTGATCCGGGCGATGGGCGGGCCGCAGCTCTTCGCGCGGCGGCTCGGCTACTTCCACGAGAGCGGCATCATCTACATGGGCAACGAGCAGTCCTTCCTGCCCGTGTTCCAGTTCCACTACGCCGGCCGGCCCGGGCTGAGCTCGTACTGGGCGCACCGGTACATCCCCAGCCTGTTCAACACGACCTTCAACGGCATCCCCGGCAACGACGACTGCGCGATGGGCGCCTTCTCGGGCCTGGCCATGATGGGCTTCTTCCCCGTGGCGGGCCAGGACGTGTACCTGCTCACGCCGCCCTTCTTCCGCGAGGTGAGGCTCAGGGCGAGGAGCGGGCGCTGGTCCGTCATCAGGGTGGCCAACTTCGACCCCACGTACGAGGCCAAGTACATCCAGAGCGCCACGCTCGACGGGAAGCCCTGGACCCGGAGCTGGATCACGCACGACTTCTTTGTCAGGGGCGGCGTGCTGGAGTTTGTGGTGGGCACGAGGGAGGGTAGCTGGGGCACCGCCGACGAGGACCTGCCGCCGAGCTGGTCCGTCAAGGCGATCGGGTAGATGTGTGTAGTCATAGTCGTCGTATAATAGCATATTGAGAGTGAGAGTTGTTGCCATGATGAGTGTTGACATCAGGTCGATGAACGAACCCAGGATCCACTTTGGGCGAAGAGAGGAAGCGAAGGGGGTCCCTCACACGTGCTCTCGCGCTGGGACGGGAAGATCCAAGGGTTGGGGGAGAGTGGGGAGAGGGGGATGAGGGGGGTGAGGGGGGTGAAACGCGCCTCGGTCGCGTCAATTCTCCGGCTGAAATTAGGAATGACGTCTACACTCGAGCCAAAGCCTCTCGCTGCTCTGCTGCATTGTATAGCATTACTGCACTATCAACCTGCATTCTTATCTCATTGACCTTCTGCTGATCAGCTACGTACACACATACCTAGGTACGCCTTCGAAATGCCCCCTCGGAAGCGAGGAGCCGCGTCGCCCGCGACCCCCGTGGCATCCGGCGGCCGCCGGTCGACCCGCATCAGCTCGTCCGGCAAGAAGAGCCAGTACTTCGAGTCCGACCCCGACGAATCTGACGACAAGATCGAGGACTCGTCAGCGAATGACTCCAAGGCGACAAATGGCAATGGCACAGGGAGGAAGAGAGGCAGGCCGCGCAAGAACCCGGTGTCGCGTCCGACCTCTGCCAAGAAGAAGGCCAAGGTCGAGAGCGATGACGACGGAGACGAGTTCCGGGACGAGGCAGAAGAAGAGGAGGATGACGACGACGACGAGCTGGACGAGGACGAGGAGCCGAGGGTCACAATCACGCCGCTGAAGAAGATGCGACCCGCCGGCGATATCGACTACCAGGATGACAGGCTGCATCCGAACACTCTGCTGTTCCTCAAGGACCTCAAGGCGAACAACAAGAGATCATGGCTCAAGTGTAAGCCACATAGCCATGTCCCTGGCCTAGAAAGGCTACAGCTGTACGTGGACCCCGGCTGACCTACCACCCCCCTCCAGCCAACGATCCCGAGTACCGCCGCTCCCTCCAGGACTGGAACAGCTACGTCGAGACCCTGATGCAGAAGATCATCGAGGCAGACCCCACCATCCCAGAGCTGCCGCTCAAGGACGTCGTCTTCCGCATATACCGCGACATCCGCTTCAGCAAGGACCCCACCCCGTACAAGCCGCACTACAGCGTCGCCTTTTCGCGCACCGGGCGCAAGGGCCCCTACGCCTGCTACTACGTCCATTGCGAGCCCGGGTCGTGCTTTATCGGCGGTGGTATCTGGCACCCTGACGCCTCGCACGTGGCAAAACTGCGGGCCTCCATAGACGAGAGGCCGCGGAGGTGGAGGAGGGTGCTGCTTGACGATGCCTTCCGGACCACCTTCCTTCCTGGGGCCAAGAGCGGCGATGAGAAGAGCTGTGTCAAGGCGTTTTGCAAGGCGAACGTGGAGAACGCCCTGAAGACGAAGCCAAAGGTACGAAGCAACTCTTGTCCTCGTTTCCCCTCGCCACTCCGGATATCCCAACTTCTGACACCGAGGCCCAACTGTACCTCTTGACTTGGTGCTCGGAACTGAGCTAGCTAGGTTATGCTGGCTGGCGGTGGGGTCCGGCTGGATCTCGGAGAGACGTCGAGGCCCGCTTCCCGGGGAGTGCCGGCCGGTGAGAAACTTCGAGCCAAATAGCTGCTAACCCACCCACCCCGTGATCACAGGGATTCGACGCCGATCACCGAGACATCGAGTTGCTTAAGCTGCGCAACTTTACGGTTGGCAAGAAGATCCCTGACAGCATCTTTACCGCGGACGATAGCCAGGACAGGATCGCGGACATTATCAGGGCCATGGTTGGATATGTGAGTGGAGCGTGCTTTTCGGCATCAATGTGAAACCCCCGTGGCTGACTAGGTCCAGGTGAGCTTCTTGAACGACGTGGTCATGCCGGATCCGAACCTGGACAGCGAATCGAGCTCGGAGGACGAAGACGAGGATGAGAATGGCGACGGCGAGGACGGCAGCGCAGATGATGAATGAGGGCGCCGAGCCTGCCCTTCTGTGGCTCGGTATCGCATGATACTGACGTCGTCTGTGTAGATATCGCGCAGGGTTTCAGATATCAGGCGTCGACGGCCGAGGCCTCTTGGATTGTGGCTGCTCACCTTGGCTTGTTAATCGGGGACGAATTCCTACCTCGTCTTGCCTCCGTCCTCTCAAGGTAGACAGTTCTGGATGCACCGGATGAGATGTGATTGGTGGTCAAGGAGACATGACAGGTCGTTTCCACCTCACCTGGGCTCGGGGTTCTTCGTCCGCCCGTCTCAATCACATGTGCGCGCTGCTCACATACCAGCACCAAGGGCATCCCCGAACGAGGCCGGCTGCCATCTCAATTATGGGTGGCCTCTGAGACCATCATCTGATGCAGGCAGCCCTGATCAGTCCCAGAGGCCGCACACCTTGACCGATGCTGACTCTGGCCAACACATGATGGTGTGACTGATCTGCTAAAAAGAATACTTCTTACTCGGTCGTCACAAAATGGCTGGCCTCCACAACAAACATGGCGAGCGATTCGCAGCCGCGCGAGTTATCGTGATCCACTCCACCCGCCGCATTCCTGTAATGCGATTGGCTCCGCAGGCGGCCTAGGAGGGTCTTAACCTTCGGCCCGCCACTATGGATACTCACTCCCCAGTGGAGACCTGGCCGGGCCCTTGGGCCTTGGTCGCCGGACAATTTTCATGCAGCGATGATGGCTGCCAGCTCTGCCCGTGGGGCTAGGAAGAAGCAAGAGCAGCTGACAGGTTCGTTCCTGAATCTCAGATTGATTGCGGCCCGCGAGTCACATCCAGAAACGGTTTGGTTTTGGGTCCCAGTGGGCTGGTTGGTTGGTGCGATCTGCCAGGGCTGACTAAAACAAAAGTTTGCCCAGGCAATCCGTACCGGACGGGCCCCCCTGCCAGGGGTTTCATTGCACACAGGCCTGCCTGACGTCTTCTCCAGCTGCCAAAGGTGCAAAAAAAGAAGCATAAACACATCGACACTTTAAGCTCCCCCTAATTATATGGAAACAAACGGGTGGTTTGTGTGTCCCGGCCCACACTCCTGGGGATCAGAAACAAAAGGAAAAAAGGAACCTTAACGACCTCAGCCTCGTGCAGTGGTGGTGTGGTGCATTGCAGTACAGATGAACCGCAAATCGGACGGTGTGGTGCAACCCTGTTCTATCTATATACCACGGCACTGGTGTAAGTCCGACTCCTCCAGCCTGCTGCAGCTTCTCATGACTCGGCCCCACAGGAGCCTCTCGTGTTTTTGGCCAACGGCCAGCCCAATCGGAGACTTGACAGCGCTCAACGGCCAGGCCGACCAGCTGGTTGACACCGGGGAGAAATTTGACGGGTGGACGGCCGTGCGTCCGAGCGTGCACCTCGCCCGAACCGCCAGGGCGGGCTGAGCTGACAGGGCAGGGGGGAGCCGCTACGGGGGAGCGATGCCCAGGCCGCACATAGTCATGTTTCGGCCGACAGGTTCATGGATGCGAAGGGTTAGTTCGTGGGGGGGCCTCCCTCCCTCCCGGCGTCTGCTCGTTGAATTGTTCCCCTTCGACACTAGCTCTCAGCCCGCGGCCATGTCCCCTGCACAGGAATATGCCGACGTCAATATGGGTGGGTTGGCTTCCGGGGTATTTTGGTGATCCTCTCTCCTTTTCATTAGCGGCTTGGTTGGGTTGGAGGATGGATCACCGGGCGAGTGGACCAAGTGGGCTGCTCCAGACCGGCTTGGGCAACTCAGCCTTCAGGATGGATGTTTCTTCCCCGGACGCGTGCTCGTGCTAACGCCACAGACATATTGCGGCCTCATGCGATGAATCATTGGCGTGCAGGACCCGGGTTGGCTTCCGGAAGGGGAAGGAAGGCATCACTTGCCATGGTTGGTTGGGTTGTTGTGGTTGTTGTGTTGTGTCTATAAGTGTTCGAGATGTTCTCTCTCGAGACTCGGACACAATTCTGTTGATCCAGCAGTCTACCATCAGCAAAAGAGACGCATCCTACCTTCACTTCGCCAAAGGCGTTCTTTACTTCACCTATCCTTTTTCAGAAACAACAGGCTTGAGGCCGTCCTTCATTCTCATCCGCCTCGCTCCGGTTTCTCACATACCTCCTTCCGACTACCAAAGCTTCCGTTCTTTTTCAACCGCAGCAATGCATTACCAAGCTCTTCTCGTAGCATACTTTTGCTCCACGGCGGCTGCGCTGCCTCTTTCCACAAAGACCACCCGCCAGAGCATCCCAGGCTTTGGGAGTGGCACCGGCACCGGCTTCCCAGGTCTCCCCAGCGGCGGCAACACTGGCGCAGGCGGCCTGGGCGGCCTCCTGGGTGGTCTAACAGGTGGCTCGGGAATCCCTTCGATCCCAGGCCTCGGCAGCGGTGGCATCCCGTCTCTCCCAAGTGGACTTCCGGGCCTCGGCGGCGGCGGGGCTGGCGCAGGCGGGCTGGGTGATCTCCTGGGCGGCCTCACAGGCGGCGCGGGAACAGGCCTCGGAAGTGGTGGCCTCCCGTCTCTCCCGAGTGGCCTTCCGGGCCTCGGCGGCGGCGGGGCTGGCGCAGGCGGCCTGGGCGATCTCCTGGGCGGCCTCACAGGCGGCTCCGGGACCCCTTCAATCCCCGGGCTTTCAGGCGACAGCGCCGCCCCTGCGGCGGGATCCGAGGCCTCCCCCAGCCCGACCGACGCCCTAGCCGACACCTCCGCCTCGCCCAACACAGCCGCGGCCGCCCCCGCAGCAGAAGGCGCAGCCGGCTGCAAGGCCGTGACGGTAATCTTTGCGCGCGGCACGACGGAGCCCGGCACGCTGGGCATGGTCGTCGGGCCGGGCCTCAACACGGCCGTCGCGAAGGCGCTGAACAACAACGGCGTCGTGACGGGGGTCGCGTACGCCGCGTCGGCGGGCGGGATCGCGACCGAGATCGGCACGGGCGGCGCGGGGACGCAGGCGATGGTTAAAGCCGTGGCGGACGCGCTGGCGGCCTGCCCGGACACGCAGATCGTGCTGTCGGGCTACTCGCAGGGCGCGATGCTCGTGCACAACGCCATGAACAGCCTGGACGCGGCGCAGGCGGGGAAAGTCAAGGCCGCCGTCACGTTTGGCGACCCCTTTGTGGGCCAGGCCGTCAAGGGCGTGCCGGCCGGCGCGTTCAAGTCGTTCTGCGCGTCCGCCGATCCTGTCTGCACCGCCGGGGCCGGCGCCTCGCCGTCTGCGGGGGGCACCAAGAGCGCCAGTGCCTCTGGCCACCTTGGCTATGGGTCTGATGTCACTGCTGCTGCGGAGTTCATCAAGGGCAAGGTCACCGTTTGAGGTGTTGGATTCTCTGCGCCATGCGCTGATGGGGGGGGGGGGGTGGACGCAGGCTTGCTTGCCGTGGTCAATTCCGTCGTCGTTAGAAATTTGTGTATATATATATCTTCACCCGACCCTGTCGGCGCTCTTGATACTTCCAGGCATCACCTGTGTCTAGCTGACAGGTGTCAATAATTTTCTACTACTTTGATTCTTAGCAGATGCTACCGTCTCGGCCGAGAGAATGCTTCTCCGTGCAGTTTTTCTGGTGCAAATACGTTTGTTTGTCCCCTTTCCGATAGACGTTCAAAGACACGATCACGATTGCAGCGAGCGTGATGCTTCGATACATTTTCAAACAGCAAAGGAAAGGCATGGGACCTCTTATTGGTCGCTGGAAGAACGGTAAATTCTCTGAAACAGCAATAATTCTTGCTAGTATCGCACGGGCTTTTTTTCCAAGGTTACTAGGCTATTGCGCCCTATGTGGTTTCGCTTCTATTCCGTATACGTCTAAGGACATATATGGTGCCTTTATATGGTGGTAAGCACTTAAGACCTAGTGTTTGGAAAGAATATGATGCTGATAACGATAGTTATAATATGATAGGTGCTTGTGGCCTCAGCCTTGCGACGTATAGACAAGGCTAAGGGGCACCGTCTTGACGAATTGCGCCCTATAACCGTAGATGTTTGTTGCCGTCTTTAGATGTCGGTTTCTTTCCACCCCTCATGGAGGAGATGCTCTACTATTTTGCCTCCCCTAACTTGTGGCGTTATGTTTGTGAAAACGAACGACGGCAGAATGACGACCGGTAAGCCCCTGTACTCTAGTCCTCAACTGTCTGGCTCGTCGCTTTTGTGTGGTCTAGCCCAAGCCACGGGCTGATGTCACCAGCACGGGGCTCCAGTATATTGTGTAGCACTACTGTCTATAAATACGGTCTTCCCCTCCTCGTTATTCATAGTTAGGAAAACAGCCAACTTGCTCTGTTTGATATTCCCCCCTCGAATTCGTGGAGCCTGGGACGGACGATTGGTCGGACGGGGAGAATTTGCAATGACAATTTCCACCACCAAGCGATACTTCATCTACTCTTCACTTTGGCTCGGCTAGCTCGACCACCTGCTCAACTTCAAATGCAGAATCGTATTTTCACCCCTTCAGGCGGGCATGTGCTTATGGTCATTTAGGTGTTTATCCGAAACCCGCCTGGGGTATTCAATGATGAGATGACGGCGAGAGGCCAATCGGATCCCAGAAGATTCTGTACGTTTGTAAACTGTCGTATTGGATTCTATTCATTTTGGTCTGGCACAGAAAATTGCATAGTGGCAGAACAAGAGACGTCTCGTTACCCACTACCCAGGTAATGTATCCACCATCGCGGCCCTTTCATGCCAGTACCGAGCTCGTAGCTGGAACAGACATCACGAGGGATTAACTTCATCCGTCAGATGATCGGTCATCGTCTTGCTGCTTGATTTCCCAGAAGGCCCACAGTTCCCACTGGGCGTTTACGCCCGAGTGATCCCTTCATATACGTGTGGTTCAAGGGTGCGGACCGATCTATTGTGTCCTTGCATGGCTCAATATGTGCACAGTCATAGACTTGTGTAATCATGAAACGAGATCGGGGCTCTCGTGGGACGCAATACCAGTATGCCTGCCAAGGTCGTCGTTCTAATAACCCAATCCCGATGTCGCTGGCACCTACGGATTCCAGTGCTCTTGGAGACAGCCAAGTGCTTCTGAAACTTCGATTGAATGGGAACTAGCGTGATAATTCCTCGTCTAAGGCATGGCTAGGGAGACTTTGAGCGTTGTCATGGCACTGTATCTTTTTAACCGCTGGGTCTTGAGCTTTTACCACCGTATGAAGGCGCCATGTAGTTATGTCCTCGGACGTAAACGGAATAGAAGCGAAACCACATTAGAGAAGAATCCCATAAAGGGAGACCCAGTGAAGAAAGATTTGGCTCTTCCCCATAACTCCCAGCCAAACGGTCCATGGTTCAGTGACAGTGGAACTTAGCGGTGTTAGTCGGCCGCATATGCCAGTGCTGATAGGATACACCCGTGATCTCTACAACCTCGGTAATGCCAACAAATGTCAAAAACGCGACACAGTCTGCCTCAAATAACGGCGTCAATCCGTGCTGGCTGCTTGCAGTGAAGCGATCAATGGTATAGGCACAAAACAAGTCTCAGTTAAGTCATTAGGAGATCGAAGCCAATGGCGTCTTGACACACAAAACAAGACTCTTTACATTGCCGTTTGGCAGTTCCATGTCTTGTCGACTCCTTTCGAATCGACATGCGGTCTGCTCATGGTCGACTCTGCGTAACGCAAGCCTCTTGCACGACATTCAGGTTTCAACGTTGCGCGAGCCTCGGCCCCTTGTCTCTTTGCGCGAGACAGGCCTCGGAATCAACATTTCGGATACCTTCCAGTTGCGGCCGCCACGTAGCGCTTGCTTTTAATATGGCTCGATTTACAATTCCGCCAAGAACCTTGGAAATAATACCCGTCATTGCTGTCTGAATATGGTAGGCCATGCTCACTTTCCTGTCGCAAGTACTACCCAGATGGTGTGTTTGGAGCAACTCCGTGCTGTCCGGGAGAAGCGTGGGGGCTCATCAGCCGTATCGTTTGGTTACCATGGCGCGCCTCCAAGTGGTAATTACCTAGGTAATGTAGTACGCGGATCCACCGTGCACTGATCCTTCTGCGATGCTTGCGGCGTGTCAAATGGAACAACCGCTTAGACAACACGGGTCTTGATGTACCAACTATAGCTACATTCGGGTGACGAGCACGATAGGGTTGCTGTGCATCCAGGTTTTAGGTAGTCTACGTACCGAGGTAGTTTCGTAGTTACCGCTATATGAAGACGCCGCGTATGGCTTCGGAAGTATACGGAATAAGAAAGGAACCGATTAGGCTGGCAGGTTTACATCATAGCCCTGGAACTATGGGCAGCCGCGGCGTGCATTGTCAGTTATATGTGCGGCTTGCTTAATGAGTGGTTCGCGCGAGCTATAGCATAAATCATCCCACGGCTCTTGACTTCCGGATGGCAAGTGCCAGAAGGGCATGCCTATGAGATTATTTGCTGCCTACTATGAACGCGGCTAACGCATGAACTGGTTCCTCGAGTCCGTGCAATGCCCAGGTGCCGCTGTCTAGGAAAAACGAAGTTATGCCCCCCCCTGGTTAAATACCCTCTATTCTTTAGTTAAATTAAAACTTTACTAGTAGAGTGGTAAATCTAATATTTCTTAATAAAACACCCTTATTAACCTATTAATATTCTTTAATTAGTAAAAAAGAGGTTATAATAATAGTTAGTTATTATTTATTATTATTTAAACTTTAATAGTTAAAGTTTTATTTACACTTTAACTTATTATTATTTAATAAATAACTATAAATTAAGTTTTAATATTATTATAGAATAATTTAAAGTTATTATTAAAGGGTTATTATTATTTATATAGTTACTTTAAATATATTATTATTATTATTATTAAATATAGTTAAGTTAAAATAATAAATTTTAAAAGTTTATTAGTTTATTTTTAATAATAAGTTTATAAAGTTTAATTAATATATAAATTATATAGGTTAGAAGTTAAAAATTTTTTATTTAATAAATTAAATCTATACTTTAATAAAATATAATATTTTTATTAAATAGTTTTAAATTAATATTATTATAAAATAATAAATAATATTTTTAAAGTTTATATATAAAATAATAAATAAATATATATATTAGTTTATTAATATAATAAAGAACTTTATAATTACTATTTTTAATAAGTATATTAATTAAATTATATAATAAAGATATTTATTTTTATTAATAAATTTAATTTTAATAAATAAAATAATATAAAGAGAATAAATTAAATACCTATTAAATATACTTTATAGATTAAAAGTTTTTAAGTAAGGAGCTTACTTTTATATTCTCCTTATAATTATATTTAATAGTTTATTTATTATTATAATATATAAAATTATATAATAAAAAGTACTTTTATAATAATTAATAAAAGTATTTTATTAAAATAAACTTATATTTAAACTTAAAGTTAATCTTTATAATAAATAATATTTTATAATATTATAATATAAAATAATTAAAATAATAAATATAAAAATATAAAATATAAATATTTATTTTTATATTTTTTAATTTTAATTTTATTAAAGTATATTTTAATAATTTAAAGTATTATTTATATTATTAATATTAGTATAAATTATTAAATTATAATTTAAATAAAGATTTTATTTAATTTTATTCTTTTATATTTAAAAGATTAAATTTAAAATTAAAATTATTTAAAATATTTTATTATATATAAATATTAAAAAATATAAAATAAAGTAAATATAATAATATTAATTAAAAGTTATAAAATTAAAATTAATAAAGTTTTAATTAAATATAATTATATAAATAAAAGTATTATTTATAAGTTAAATAGTTAAGTTAATAATTAGAATTAAAATAAATAAATTAATTATAAATAAATCTATTTAATTAATTAATTATTTAATATTAAATACTTAATTTATTTTATTTACTTAAAATAATTAACTTTCTTTTTAACTACTTTCTATTACTAATTATATCTTTTATATATTTAATTACTACTTTTTTATTTAAAAGTCTTTTAAAATTTATTATATAACTTCTATTTTATTAAATATAAAAACTACTTTAATAAGTTTTTAACTCTTTTATTAAATAACTAACTTAATTATAAAGTTTAATATTAAATAAAATTAATTAATTAATTAAATAAGTTTTATAAATTTTATAAAGTATATATTTTTAATATTTATTTAATAATTTATTAAATAGTTATTTAATAACTTTTATTATAATAGTAAGTTCTTTTATTATTATTATTATTAAAAAATTAATAAAGTTTTTCTTTCTTTTTAAATATAGTTTAATTAATATTTAAATTAATAAGATAGTTTTTAAATTATATTTATTAAAT